TGAATCAGCACATACCTAAATAAAAATAATATTTTATCTAAAAATCAGTACGGTTTTCAACAGGGCAAATCAACTGTAGATGCCATATCATTTCTCACGAATCACATTAGTAAATACGTAGATAAAAATGTACCATCCCTATGTATATTCGTAGATTTGAAAAAAGCTTTAGACACTGTCAGTCATAATCAACTGCTAGAAGTAATGGACAACATCGGATTCAGAGGTTTACCATACTCACTACTGTGCAGTTATCTGAATCAAAGAAAACAATGTGTGAAAATTAAAGACACGAAGAGTGACCTTCATACTGTTGAGTACGGCGTACCTCAGGGAACCGTTTTGGGTCCGCTACTTTTTAACATCTACCTGAACGATATGTTCTCACTGAATGTGGAAGGTGATATAATCAGTTTCGCTGACGACACTGCAATTATTTATCAATCGGAATCCTGGAATTCTCTGAAACAAAAAGCAGAAAAAAATTTCAAAATAATAATTAAATGGTTCGAAAGTAAATTATTGAGTATAAATATATCCAAAACATTTTACATTACCTTCACTTCGTATGCCAAGAATCTACCAGATTTCAAATCACTTTCAATAAAATACGATGACGTAGAACTTTCCGTTTCATCAGTGGATACATTGAAATACCTTGGTATATATATTGATGCTCATCTAAAATGGGATGCACATATTTATTACTTAGTCAAAAAACTACGATTCGTTACATATAGATTAAAATACGTGAGACTATACCTACAAACAGCCCAAATGCGAATGCTATACTATGCATTGTTCGAAACCCACCTCACATACGAAATAATTGCAAAAATCAGTATTGAAAATTATCTACCTCAAAAAAAGAACTCACCCGACCGACTCATTATATAAAGAAACATCAATTCTAGACATCAGACAACTCTACTTTCTCAAAACTGTAATAAGACAACATAATAATAAACATGAATTAAGGAAAATAGATCACCAATATGAAACTTGACACAAAAATAATTCATATGTCCCGAATTCAAGGAAAAACATCCTTCAAAGGTCTTACTCATACCTAGATCCTCGATTATATAATCTCGTCCCACATCATATAAAAAATATCACTAGTAACAATTCATTCAAGAATAAATTCAAAACCTGGGCCTTAGGCTTGCCAAGGCTTCAGATACCAGTACTTTGATATGAACAATGTTTACTATTACAGTGACATGCATAGAAACTGATTCACATCTTCATACAGAAAGTTTGAAGATATAATTAAAATAATATGTCTGATATTGTTAAAACGTTTTACCTTTTATTATTTACTCATACCATGTTATATTTTGAATTTTAAAATCGTATTCATTAGTATTACAATTTCTGCAGAACCTACGCACAGGTATATCCTTCTGTGGAAATTGCCTCGTACAACTTGTGACATTGAACAATGTATAAATGCCAATAATAATAATAATAATTATAATAATCATAATTATTATTATTATTATTAATCACTAATTTCTTCACTTTTGAGAAAGTTATCGAAGAATTATTCAAAAGAATACTGAAATCAACTCAATTTTGGTTGAGTTATCTGTAGCATAGTGCGCAAGTATATCTAGCACAAGTTCATCTAGCCTCTGTCTCCAGAAAAATATGGAGAGGAGGTAGATTCAGAAGGATCTCCATGGCCGCTGACGGTGTGGTACTGATGGTACCACTGATGATCAGACGAGTCTGTCTCTGTAAGCCAGAGAGCTTCGCCTGGGCCATTTTCTGTAAAGCCTTCGGCCACCAGGCAATTGCACCATAAGTGATCGTTGGTCTGACAATCATCACATGAATCCAATGGATTTGTTTGGCACCTAAACTCCCAGTTTTACCCCAAATCCTTCGACCTGTCTGGCTTTCTGTAAAACTTTTCCAAGTGAGCGTTCCAGATGAGTTTTTTATCAAGGGCAATGCCAAGATATTTCACCTCCGTTCCAAATGGAATGACCTCACCATTCAGGGAAAGTCGCGTTAGCTCGTCCAGTTTTCTCCTCTTGGTGAAGGGGATTTACACAGTTTTGCTGGGGTTGACAGATATCTGCTTCCTCAGACACCAATTGTGAACAACGTCCATCGTGCTTTGGGGGATATTACAAGCTACGCTTCCCGACGTAGACCTTACCAAGATGACAAGGTCATCTGCATAAGCTTGCAGATCTACTTTTCTTCTGTGGAGGACATCACGCAGACTATCCATCAGGAGCGACCACAGAAGGGAAAGTAATACTAACCAGTGTAGTTAGTTACAGGTAGTAGTCAGGCCATTGGCATGTAAAAAAACTAATATAGTAGTGAAATTTAGTCATAATGATTTCCAAGACGCTAACTTGGTTTGCGAAACGCGCGTCGAGAGACCGTAATTTTTGTTCTGGTGTTGGGAAAGTGTTTTCGATAAATTCGACTCTGATTGCTAGTGCTTGCATAACAATTTTTTCAAAATGCTTTCCTTTTTTCAGTAGAAGCTAGCTCGAGCTCGAAAAAAGAATATATACCTAATCCACTACACCTTATAAAACACTGTTTACTTTATAATGAGGACTTTGTAGTTTGATGACAAACAAAATGATTAAAGTTAATCATTTATTTGGGGGCAAATACACTTAGTTCACATACTTAATATCTGTATGATTCATTCATTAGATAACAAATTCTTAGTACCAGTTGATAAATGTGTAGCTGCCAGATCCAAGGATGATTTATTGGTTGCTCTTTATAGTATTTGCTGTAACATCGATGAATTGTGCGAACCTTCATGTGGAAATAGAAAAGATTTTTCAGCTGTCCGTTATACACTTCAATGATTTTCACGCAAGGTAAATAATAAATTAGCTCTCAAAACACAATTTGATAGTTCTTACTTCAATTACACTTTGAAATCATTTCACTTTTTATAATATTTCTTCGCCCACATATTCAATTGGAAGCTATCGAAAATTCTTCGAATTCTAGTTGTTGACTGAAGAAGTTTGATACAAGCTGCCATGATGATGATATGACGTCACTTTTCCGAGTTTAGGATTCATTGGTATTCGGAGCAATCCACAAGTAGTATTTTCGATTCAGTAGCTGGTAATTTTGAGAGGCTATAAAAGTGAAATAGTTATTGTTTCAGTATTGGTATTGATAATGCAGGTAACATTTTGTTATTACAGTTACCAATAGCACATTGACTGTATCATTGTATATTTAAGAAAGTTTTAATTCTTTTTTCTTCATTATGATATCATACCACGTAGTAATGGCTACATCTATCAATTTATTGAAAAAATATACTCAACTATTCGTTCAATGAGTCGTATTCAGGTTAGCTATCAGGATGTTCGTAGAATAGTCCAACGTAGTCGCTTGGAGAGTTTTGTTCAAGAATTGTTGCAATGGACAGATAATGCAGAAATTCAAAAGATCGGAAATCACCAATGTCTTGCCGTAGATAATAATGGAATTGGAAATTTTAGAAACTTACAATTACCGAATGACGGATTTTGACAGTAATTTATTTCAATTGAGAAATTATTTATTTCATGGTTTCTAGTGTCAAGTTTGTACTTTTCAGAAAATATATCTCCTGTTTCATAAAAATTATTTAGAATAAATCAAGATAGTTGTGTTACGAAGAACAATATATTCGATGAAAAAAGTGCATGTATTTTACTGTTGGTAAAAAGATTATGAGCGATTAGGAACAATTCTCAAACAACAATTTGTGATGTTGATGAGAAAGTGTTTTAGAAGTGTTTTTGCTACTGTTAATAATATTTATCATTATTTTACTAAACCTTGTAGATAGAAAACAAGTCTGACTACTCCACTGAAAGATCAATGTAAAACTTTCCAACAATGAAACAGAAATATTGGTTAAATTGGTTAATTCTGGGCATGAAGGATTTTTTTGTAGAAGTATTTTCTTCTTTGACTATCTACTTTTGCCTTAGCATATAAAATAGTCAAACTTTTACGAATGAAAAAAACATTAGCAACTAGAAAAGAAAATTGTTTGAGAAAATGTGTGAAATAATCGAAAATTGAATAAAATAGAATCAATTTCTGAAAGTTTTTCTCACTTTTCGTAGTACATAGTACAACAAAATCTGTAACTCTTCATATACTTCATAAATCCATTTTTTCTAAACGAGTCTAAAAAAGTAGTAATTTGTATTACAGGTCCGGTAGGTAATTTCATTAAAAAATGATCAATCGTATAATATTTCATCTCACACGTTAAAAGGTAAGACCTCGTTAGTCCTTAGCTCGCACAAGTTTCTCAACTTCTGAGAGTTGTCGTTCGTATCGGGACGACAGCTGATTAACGGAAAAACAGATTTTAAACAGATTTCATGATATTTTTATAATCTTTTTTCATTGAAATAAAATCTGGCTTGGAATGTAACAATCGTATCCCAATAATTATACAGGGTGATTATTAAACATGCAGCAAAAAATTAACGGACTATTCCTTGGACTATTCTAAGGATATTTTGTCAATGAATTGATGGATGTAGCGTTACTACGTGGTAGGAGATCATAATGAAAAGAGAAATGAAAATTTCTGTTTTTCCCCACTTTTATTTGTAACTAACGTTACTGCAGTTTCGTCCTATATGGACATTCTCAAACTTATACAATAAAATTTATTATATCAGTTTGAGAATGTCCATATAGGACGAAACTGCAGTAACGTTAGTTACAAATAAAAGTGGTAAAAAACATAGAAATTTTCATTTCTCTTTTCATTACTTTTCGATATTTTGACCTTTGAATATTTTTATTAGGGAGCTTTGTTTCGAAGATACGGAGCAAAAAACAATTTCGACAATAACAATTTTGGCAATTTTAAAATAATTAACGTGACCGAAATGAAAGTATAGCGTACTTAAGTGGACCTACCAAGTTATAAAAAATCTAACAATTCCGTTGCCACCTATCAACAACATTCCGATTACTATAAACGGCTGCAGACATTCAAGTTGCTGGGTGTAATACAATCAGAAACGTTACTGGTGTTTTTGCAATAGTTCAGGAGTCGATGAAGAGAAGGTTGGATTCTTACATCCAAGCGTGGGGCAGTCAGTTCTTGTAGATCAAGAAACATTATATGTAAATTTTAGTAATTAATTGCTATTGTCGAAATTTTTTTTCAAGTCGATGAAGAGAAGATTGAAATCTTACATCCAAGCGGGGAGCAGTCAGTTCTTGTAGATTAAGAAACATTACATGTAAATTTTAGTAATAAATTGTTATTGTCGAAATTCTTTTTCGCTCCGTATCTTCCAAACAAAGTGCCTTATTAAAAATCATTAAGAGACAAAATATTCTTAGAATACTCCAATAAATAGTCCTTTGAATGTTTGCGGTATGTTTAATGAACAACACCCTGTATTACGGTTACCGTTTTCGTCATCACTAATTTCAGGTAAACAAAATTACGAATATTTTATAAGCAGAAAGCGATTGTGAATGAATATACAATAATACAATAATACAGTGATGCAATAATCCAAAAATACAATAATATAATACAATAGAAATTAATAATTTCAGTTAGTTGAAAATCGAAATATGTGTAAGTGGAATCCTTGCTTATTTTTTAATCATGAGAAAATCATCCTTTTTTACCAATTCTTATGATTTTTTCTATCCTATTTCTTTTGACTTTTGAGCAATGTTTACATTTTCGAAATATTGAGGGCTCTCGCATTGAATGAATTAAATTCTTGTGAACGAACCTTTCATAAGGTATCGGCTTTGCTTTGTTTACTATACTAATTGCATAATAAAAAATCTGGAATGTCTTGTTCATTTCAGGTTTGATCAGATTAACGATTCGGGTGGTGTCTGCAAAGCTGGCGAGAATTGTATTGGTGGATTTTCCAGACTATACCGCCAAGTTGAGGACATTCTAACAGATAAGCCAAGTTCCATTTTGTTGAATGCGGGGGACAGTTTCCAGGGAACTCTTTGGTATACAGTGGGAAAATGGAATGTCACGCAACAATTCATGAATAGACTTCCAATAGATGCCGAGGTATGTCATACAGGATGATCATTTCCTAAACTCATTTCCTAATTCAATATTATGGCTGAAAGTACTCTGTCTAGTAAATCCTACAGTGGCATCTGATTATGAACTATTTTAAAGAAGAAAGTAATACAAATCATGAAATTATGGAACAACAAAAACTATTTAGCGCTCCGGGGTGACTTCATTGATTCCAGTGGCGCATTTACTTTTTCAGCTGCAGGAAAACCCGGAAAAACCTGCAGCACCACATCATCTGAAGATCTTGATTTGCTAATGTCCTTTCTTTCGCAAAACAAAATGTAGGGTATCGTCAGAGGCTCCTATAAAAACAAGACATCGCCGGAACACTTAATGATACGACTGTCGTCAAATATAAACCAGAGTCTGTTTCGTCTTTGATCAATGCGTAAAAATGGTCAGATTAAATGCCAGAACCACAGTGAACAAAAACTACATGGAGATTATAATAATGGTCTGCTAGATTGAAGTGTTCATCCATTTCGAACATTTGTAAGAGTTTGGTGCTTCCGTCAGAGGTTGTCATGTTTGAAGATCACCAGTGTTACTATTACGCTGACTGGTGCCTCAGACATACTTGTTTTCTTACAATAGTCAGTCAGTTTGGCGCATGTTTGGCAATACAGTTCAATTTTCAGATGATTCAACAACAAGCTCTGCATGGACTGGTTATCAGTTATATTGGGAAATGCTAGTTGAAGTTCCAGAAAATCACATTCGTCATTTCTACCTTTTGAACATTTACTATAAAGTAAACAAGTGAGAATTTTTCCAGCAAAAGATCTACAAACAGAAGACGAGATAGACTGTACGGAATCATTCAATCCAAAGCGATCAGGTGTATTGATGCTGCTATTTTTTGCTCACAAAGGGTATTCAACAAGAAGCCCAAGAATTCGGAGCAATCCTCTTATTGTCCTAACGAGTATCTAGTAGACTTCAAAGACTCCAGGAAATCGCTTGGTGTATCACATATAACATCCAATCAGTTCTAGGTTTCTACAATATTTTCACACCTTTCTTCGTAAGATTTGCTGGGAATTCAGCAATATAGATATGAAATATTCATTTAAGGTTTTAGGTAATCACGATTTTGATGACGGCATTTCGGGGGTAGTTCCTTACATAAAGAGTCTGCATCACCCTGTTGTTGTTTGCAACATAGATGATGAATTGGAACCAGAAATTCAAAGAATCTATCAGAAGAGTATCGTGATTGAAAGAGAAGGAAAGAAAATTGGGGTCATTGGAGTTATATTATCGGAATGTGATGTAAGTAAATTCTCTTTCTAGAACTTATATCGCGCAGGTCACTTGGTTTTTTATATTTAATCTTTTACAAATTTGAAACACGAGTTGTTGAAGCTTCTCATCAACTCGATTGAACATTTCAGTAACTGGTTGCTTCACCAGATAATGGAATATAAAAAATACCCGGTCTTTGACAATATTTCCAATTTATTGCAAGAAATGTATTGATTGAGCTAATTAACTTCGAAAAAATATCTCTAGTGCCTTACTTTGGCGAAGAATAAGAGTTTATTTTGTTACTATTATACTGCATTATGGTGCAGTGCAATCCCGACGCAAGATACAACTTGCCATGTTCATGTGCTCTGCTTGGTAGCTGAACTTCAAACTGTCGTGAATGTATCAAAGACGAACGGATGTACATCCGGATACTACTACAGCATAAAATATCGACATTTCGCCATCATCTCAGATGGCATTTTCAAGACTGATTTTTTGCAGAAGCAGTAACCAGTGCATTTGACATCAAGGTTGGGCAACACTTACAGGAAACAACACCTTTATATTTGTAGGTATTTAGAGATTTTTCATCTATAGGGAATGTCAGAAGAAAAGAAGATCTACCGAAAATCACAAATTTCGCCTTCGGTAGCGAACAAATTTCAATTTGTTGCTTCTGTGAAATGAATCAATATAAATATCATAAAACAAATTTCTCTCGTCGCGTATATCTGTCTATGTGACTATTTATAAGGATACAATATCAATTCTTATCAAATAAACACGTTTGTTGTTTTGAAAATTCTATGCACATTATAGCTTCCACAGCATACACTTCAAATCAATATTATTGTGCATCATCTAAAAAAAAAAAAAAATAACGGCGGCCGCCACTGGTCATCATAAATCAATTGTGACGTGGCCAAGATCGCGCTCAACTTGTCTTGCGCTTCACGATGCTTTTAGTTTTCGCGTTGCATCGAGATACTTCCAGCTTCGAGAATAATTCAATCAACTTCCCAAGACTTCCATTAGCATATTTGAATACTACTCATCCGCATTTCGAGAAGTCTAGTTGACAGTGCGGTGCGAAATGTTCTAATAAGGCCATAAACATTTGAATATCAGTTTGAATTTTTTTAAAGTGTTTGGTTGTATTGTCAGTGTAGAACCGAAATGAAGATGATTTTAATTGTACAGGGCCAACAATTAATGGCAAACCCACGGGTGAAACGTAACAATATTTATAAAGTTATCGCAAAATCAAAACTGTCGCACGAGAAAATGAAATGAAGCGGCCTGACAAACCGATGCAACCCGCATGATGAAAGAAAGGTTGAATTTGCAATCGCGTAGGTTTTGTTTAACGTAGTGGATTATTTGGGAAGCTGGGGTCGAATTTTTTGTTGTCTTCAGATAGATAGGCACTACCTATTTCGAAATTGAAATAGACAGTAGTGAACATGATTTTGTTTGAGTGGAGTACCTGAGTTAATTCAAGAAACTGATATTATATGACATAGTTGGAATAAAAGCATAAACACAATGACCCACTATTGCTGAACATTCCACCATATTCCAGAATGTTCTGGAATATTGTGGAATGCTTTCGAATACTCTGGAATGTTCTGAACTTTTCTAGAACTATTTTGCTCTTATTTGTTCGATGCCCTTCAGGGTAATAACAGGAACCTTTTTCATGGACAAGTCGATGTAACACTATGACATAAAAAAATGTAGGCTACCCGGGAGGAGTCGATATTTTGCGAAGAAATTCGAAAATAATAAAAATTGTTATTGAAAAAGTTTTGGAAACTGTAAGAAAATATTTGTAGAATAGTTTGAAACAGCGCCAGAATAATGACTAATTTAACTGGCTAATATTTGCAGAAGATCGCCAAAACTGGTCAACTGAAGTTCTTACTAGAATCGCCCAGTGTAAATGCAGAAGCGGAACGTTTGGTGAAGGAGGAAGGAGTGTTCACGAACATTGTATTATCTCACTCTGGATACGACATTGATAAGAAAATAGCTGCCAATGCCTCTGAGAAAATTAGCCTCATTGTTGGTGGTCATTCTCATACTTTTTTGTTCACTGGAGGTAGGGAAGATATAACATTCATTGCATTACAATCTATTAATATTTGAATTGAGGCTTTTTGATGGTTTGCTAATTGATTCACCGATTTCTTCCATCTTTCCCATTAATACAATTTCCACTTCTTCCTATTTTTTATACCCTCTTGTTCCATTTTTATTGTAAATTATCAATCACTAATTTATTCTGGCATTGCTTTTACTTTTGAGAAAGTTATCAAGGAATTATTCAAAAGGATACTGAAATCAACTCAACTTTGGTTGAGTTACCTAAAGCTATGGAGAAGCAATTTATTGCAGCAAATGCATCTTTCAAATTCAAAAAAAAGTTTTCGCCTTTGCTGACATCTCTTTGAAGGAAGTAAGCTTAAAACCATGAAAACAATATTGTCAAGTCATATGACTCGTAAAATGCTGGAAAACAGATATATTTCAAAGTTCAAATATGCAATTCTTGAAGAAAAACTTGGAAGAAATTTGTTCGAAAATTGATTGATTTTATTGCCCTTCTAGTGAGCAGATTTATTTGCTTGAATTGAATTAATCTAAACCAATACTACTAATCATCTTATGAAGTTCGTCTTTGCAACGTCTACTTTAAATATACTCAATTTATTTTCCAGACGATCCACCAGGCCCTGACATTGTTGGTGGTCCATATCCAACAGTTGTGAAGAGTAAATATGGGCACACTGTTTTGGTAACTCAAGCGTCAGCGCTGTGCAAGTATTTGGGAAACATTACTATATTTTTTGATGAAAATGGAGAGGTAATCGACTATTCCGGACAGCCAATTTTTTTGAGTTCCAATCATCAACAAGGTGATATGAATACTGTAACGTAGAAGGTTGAGACAAATAATATAATATTTCAGATTTACTCAAAAATCTAATACCATTATTAAAATTCAACAAAACCTGTCTTGTGGCCAAAAATAATAATAAGATTTACTTCCACGAAAAAAACTCTGATTCATAAAATTGTTAAGAATTCAACAGAATTCTAAGTAACAAAGATAATTACTATAGGATAGAGAAAATAGCATTTCTCTGATTTCTACTATGGTTTTTATTATTTGTTATGACCGGTTTCAGTTTGTTAGACCATTATCATGAGTTACTTGATAATGGTTTAAAAACCGAAACTGGTCGTAACAAATAATAAAAACTATAGTAGACATCAGACAAAAGCTTCTTTCTTCATCTCATATTAAATATGAATTTCTACGAAATGAATAGGTTAACAATCGAACAAAAAAAAATAACAAATTCCAGAAATGTACTTCAGTTATTTTATACTCGAACAATACTTTTTTATTAACGTTATATACAGGCTTTCTATGGCATCCCGAGATTTATTTCCTATTACCCACAACTCACAAATTTAACCCTGTTATCCCTGTCTTGGTGCCCAACGTGGTGCGCCATGATGTAACTGTTGAATAAACTTTGGCAGACTGAGACTCATCCACTATTACCCAGATTTCGAGTGATCCTTGTTACAGTACTCGAAACTATACTACTGAAATACAGAATGTTTCAACCACACTGTATTATTTGAAGGTGATTGACAATGTTTTATGATGAATTTCACTAGTTCGGACTTCCATTGTCTACTATATAGAATGATTTGAAATCCCTGAAACAACTAAGAAAGAAGAATTAAAAATGAATAGCTGAAAATAACAATTATATTAAGCAAAATAAACCTGAAATGAAATAAAAGTGAAATAAAATGCAAGTAAAAATAAAACAATTGAATAAATAAAAATAAAGAAACGAAAAAGAAAATGAAAATAAAAAGTGGAGAGATTCCAAGTCACGTTAGTTCAAGACATTTTGATTGTTAGTATCTACAATCGTCTTCGGGTGATGGCTGGACTGATTCCTCCGAGAGATGACTATTTATAGGTCGTTCGAGTACTTTCACTTATCCCCGCTTTCCATTTTCCGCTTCACTGGTTCCGTGGGAAATGACCGTTTCGGCGGGAGTTGGCCATTTTTCGCTTGATAATGGGTTTCCATATGTTGCGTATTTCTACGCTGGCCTGGCTGAATATGTTGTTGGACAACATGTATGCGGCTTCCTTGAATTTTCTCCTAGACCAATGTTCCTCTCTCTGCAAGATCTCAGCTTGGGACCACTCGATGTTGTGTTGATGGGTCCAAACAGGGTCTGCTATTCATGATTTGCTGGTCTGAACTAGTGAAATTTATACTGTATTACATATAGGTTCTCCTCATTTTTTTGCAATTGTCATAGAAAACAAGGAATTGGATTCATTTCACAGAATTGAATTTTATCATATTTTGTTGACTGATATTATTTTTTTTCAATTATCGGTGATCTGCATTATTTTTTCATATAGAAAACAGTTTTTATCAGGTTGATCTTTGGTGAATATATAAAAGTGAAACGTACTGTGTACTCCAGAGATAATTAATAAAAATTATGATTTCTTTCAAGATGAGCAAATCAATCAAGAACTGTCACTATGGAAAAACATGGTTGAGTCCCAAGGAGATGTAGTCTTGGGATCTACCTTTGTCACTCTCAGTGGTGAAAGTTGTTATAATCGAGAATGTTCTCTGGGAAATTTTGTAGCTGATGCAATGGTTTACGCTGTAAGTTTCAGAATATCAATAATTTTTTCTGATGGAATGAAACATACAGACACAAAAGCCGGTACTTCTGTGGATTTAAAGTAGGTGGTACCATTTGTTTGTCATTTTGAACTAATCCAGATGACATTAAAAAAAGCGCCGATTTATCACCATAAATGATAACAGGATTTTGGTTATGGGGTTTGGCAGATACAATAGTTCCACTTATGATGCACTGTTTGGAACCTTTGGTGTAGTAATGAATATTACTGGAGTTTCTTTCCCAACACCAAATCGTTATTTTTAACACCTCGACACGTGTTTCAATCACTAAGTGATCATCTTCAAGAGGAAGATTAAACTGGGAACTAATGTGAAGCTAACGCTATTTATGCTTCACGTTAGTTTCTAGTTTAATCTGCCTCTTGAAGATGATCACTTAATGATCCAAACACGTGTCGAGGTGTTGAAAATAACGATTTGGTGTTGGGAAAGAAACTCCAGTAATATACAATAGTTTCAATTAACGGTTGGAAGGAAAAACACTGGAATTTTCATTATCACTATTTTTCGGAATGTTACTGGAGTTTTTTCCCAACACCAAACCGTTATTTTAACACCTCGACAAGTGTTTCAATCACCAAGTGATCATTTTGACGAGAAAGATTGAACTGTATCACAACTATTTTTCGGGTTTGAAGGCCGACGATTTTTGGAATTCCTTTCTGACGTTACGCTAATTTCAATGACTCAGTCATCGGGGATTGATCAGGATGTACGAACCTTTGACGAAGCTAGCCATTTGCAGCAGCGGAACGTTAAGAAGGTATTCTAACAATCGATGGCCTCCACACCCGAAAAATAGTAACACTGAAAATCTCGATCGTGAAAGCTCTAATAACCATTTTGTCACTGAAACTTTATCCAAACATGTAGATATCATTTCTGAAATTTCAGGGTTTGTAGAACTTTTCAAAGGGATTAGTTTTGAATTGAAACCCGACCACACTTGGCCAGATAGGGAGAATTGAAAATTCAAAATGACGGAAGTTTTAAATATTTTTCATTTTGTTTAAAGTACCTAGGGGGGGCTAGAGGCATGAAAATGTCTTTTAGTGCCGTTCAGTAACAAAAAGTTATTTGTTATTCTGAGAAGTGCGAAGTTAGAAACTAATAAGCACAACGTATCTTTGAAATTTAGTCTCTAGACTAACCCCAGGCGGGGGGCTATATAAGTCGATTTTCTTCGTCAATACTTAAGAAATCACACTCTCAAATGTTATTTTCGGATTGTGTTTTTTGTGAAGATATCGATTTGAAATAAACATATTCTTATAGTTGGCAAAAGCGCATTCGCCGTTATGCGCCTAAAATCTTTTTACTTTAACCAACTTTGGCAACGAATTGAATGTCAGTAGAATATTGTTTATTTGTTGTCACTCTTATACCGAGTATCACAGGGTTTTCTATCGATCCTGACTCATCCAATTGCTTTTTCAAGCTCATTTCGATGGATCAGTAAGGATATAAAAAGATCAAATAGATGACGTCTTCGAGAGGGAAGATGTCATCGCCTTTACTTTCTCAGACTTGTCCTTTAAGAAGAGTTGAGTCTAGCAATGCAATGAAATACACTTTGAATTTCCACTGGGAATTTTCTTTTATTTGTTTTTGGCGGTGTATCCAGTAGATGAATGAAGACGTTGATTTCACGAGTTTAATTTTGTGAAAATCACAAAACCATAACTTTCTAACGGGATTCTCAAAGCACTTCTTGTTACTCAACCCGTACTGATTTGACGCAATTTTGGAATGTACTCATCAAGACAAATAAAAAAAAATGAGAGTCCCATTCAAATGACGTCATTTCTTGAAGGTGGATCTCCTTGCGATTGAATAATTGTTCAAAAAAACCCTGAAATTTCAGTGATATTTTCATTCAACAAATCATGAATTCATGGATTCACTGGAGATGGAAAAGGGAAGAGATTGACCAACGTACTATACCTACGTCGACTGTTCAAAAAATAAGGTGGTAAGGTAATACAAACAAACATACATACATACACCTGTATGTATGTATGTTTGTTTGTAACTCTACGGAAGTATTCAATTTCTTCCTTATGATTTCAATTGTAGGAATCTCATTGCTTTTGTAAGAGACGCATATTGTTTTTTTAATGATCACATGAACATCTAAAGGTTTTGGTAATCCCGCATCAAATCACGTCTTGCGTTCATAACGTTTGTTTTTGACTATTCTACGTACAGTTGAGAAAGGAATTTCGGTCAAATCTGATGTTGCTTGTAATAGTTTCTTTCCCTCGAAACCAAACTTGATATGTAGATTCTTATATACATTGAAACATATTCTCTGTTTCAATATTGGAATATTGGCATCACTACACAAGAAAAAGTCTGCGTTGTTATCACACTCGTTATTACTATTAGTACTTGTCCAAGGACGCCACATTCTAAACAAATAACAAACATTTCAAGTAATAATAACTTCACCAGTATCGAATTTCAACACTCAAATCGCGATCAATTCCTGAACTGAACATTGACAACACGACTCTTCTAACCATCCTCACATTCTATTGGTCACCGTAACATGACTTCAAATTCAATTTTATGACTCTTCAGCCAATCATAAAACTCGGTTAGTTAAAGCTATCCAATACGAACCGCCAATTCTTCAGTTCACGTGGACTAATTCGTAGCGGCGTTATTCCTTTGTATTGGTTTTTTTGCCTTTGAGTTCGCCGACAGCTTTAAGATTACTATATCGGTTACTTCGACTATACTACTGCAATTATGATATTCTGGAAAAGACCACAGGGGTCCAATTTATATCTGGTTCTTATAGTCCAGTTGAAGTCCAGTTATCGGGAATCGGAAATGGATATTCATTGGACGCCTCTTTTCCATGAAAGGTATTCCATTGGATATCTGTAAAGGGTACCGATTATTTTTAACTTTCAGTATACAAGCGACATTGGCGGAGGGCCTTGGACTAGAAGCTCCATTGCTGTGGTGAATCCAGGTGGAATGCGAAACGATATCAGAATAGGAGGTGAGAAACCTGACTAATAATACCTTTTATTCTCTCATTATTCTCCACAGATATAACATACAATGATTTGGCTACTGCTCAACCGTTCGAAAATACCTTTGATATTGGTGAAATAGACGGAGTACATCTGAGAGAATTGTTTGAGTATACGAGCTTGCCGTACGGATATAAAAACGCCGAAAACAGGTTGAATATATTACAGGTTTCTGGTGAGTTTGATATATTTGTGGTTTCTCTATGCACTTGATCACATATTTATTTTTATAAAGTGTGTAAAAGCCAAGTGAAATAAATTCATTATTTCGGTTACTGTACATATTTGAAAAAAATCCCGAAACACGTCTAATGTAAATTATAATTTGACATTCTTCAACGTAAAAATGCCACTTCCATCTACAAACCCCTTCGAATGACAGGTACAACCTCAAATTTTTTAAATGGGAAGTATAGGTTTGTGATATATCGTTTAAAAGGTCTCTTCATTCTCTATTCAAAAATGTTATCGCTTTCCAGTTCATTGCAACAATTAAGATGAAATGAATTAAAATCACGTGGTTACCGAAATTCGATAAAATACACTGAAAAACAAAAATGTAATGCAAAACATAATGAAATGTAGAATACGAAAAAGAACTATGGACGTTAACGAAGAAGATGTTCAAAATGTTCACCGCAAACGTCTTGGCAACATCCTAATCTCAAATAAAACTGTCATCTAACATTATTTAACATATCAGGCGTGGCCGACCTAATCGCAGGCGTTATTCGTCATTCAAATCTGAAGATTCAGTTTTGTACACAATGCTCTTCACATATCCCCATGAAAAGAAATCTAATGATGAAAGATCAGGTGATCGCGCTGGCCATTCAATCGATCCTCGCCTCCCTATCCACCGATTGGGAACTGTTGTATCGAGGTATTTCCGGACATCAACTTGGTAATGTGGTGGTGCTACATCCTGCTGAAACGATATCAAATTTACTGGCACTTGAGGGTATCCTGAATCAGGATATAAATTTGTTAAATTTGAAAGTAGTGTCAAATAATTATCGCCATTCAAGTTACCCTCAGTGGAAAGGGGACCAATGATATGGTTATCTACAATCCCTGCACGAACATTAACCCTTCGAGGGTATTGCGTGTGTTCTCTCATTCATTGAGGAGTCTCCGTTGACCAGTAGTGACAATTTGGCCGATTAGCATGACCGTTAAGAGACAAAGTACACTCATCAGAAAACATAACGTCTTCTAAAGTGCATCAAAATCGTCTTCCATGAGCTCCTGAGTGGGTATCATTTTATAGAGTTGCATTTTATTTTCTTTTGATATGTTTACTATCGATGTTTGGCTAACGTTGAATGTAGTGGATGCCTGTCTACTCGATGTGTGTGGATTTTCCTCAAACTCAAGCATCACATCTAATTTGAGTTCATCACTCGTTACATTGGCAGCTGCTTTTTTTATCTGCCCCACGTGACCAAGCTCGCGAAACTGCTTCTCTATTTTGCTCATTGTTCCTTGAGATATGCGCGGTAAATTAGGAAATGTCTCATGAAATAGAGGAGCTACTTAAACGTGGTTGAATGTTATGAAAATGATGAAAATATAAATGTACGCCATTATTTAAAATAGGTAAATTCTCAAAGCGTACTTGCAAATGAAAATAAATGTAAACAAGCTGTGAAGTTATGAATTTATCATTTATGGCTTATGGAAGGTGGTGAGTTATGAATCTGGTCAACTGTGATTGTTTATAGGGACTCAGCCAACAAAAAACGGTCACATAATGATGCTTCTTTCAATAGTCACAAAAAAATTATTTTTCATTTAAGGAAATGAAATAAACTGAAAGAAAATCCTTCTTGAAACAGCTACGTTCATATAAACATTGAATTACACGATAGAAAAATGACACTTTTCTCTATTCAGTTTAAATCAGATATTATTCACAGGACTACTACACAATACAGTAAATGGAAGGTATAAAATTTCACATATATGGAATATTGCCATCCTCACAGGTTGAAAACTTTGTATAGAGTTGATTTTTTTAAATTTACCGCTTTCTTCTTCCTTTATTTCTTCGGAAGATTCCCACATTTTTTTGTATGAAGATGGGGAAGTAGAAAGCCGAATCCTTTCTTTCCTAAAAATTATTCTCTCCTAAAAATATACCCTTTCAAATTCATATTTTGATCTTATACCAAAAGGTAAAGTATATGAGGATACTTAAAAACATTTTTTTACGGACAGAGTAAGCTGGTTAAATATTTACCCCTTCAATGACTTTAAGCTTGTAAAGTCCAAAGAGAGCAGCAACAAAAACGTAGATGCAGGTGGATATTTTTTTTTAAATATTAAACATCAGATTTTAATGTTTCATCCCTATGGCAGAAAACTCTGAAATATGAATGAAATTTTTACTTTGATATGAACGACTTACTCCAAAAACAAGTTTATAGCCCTTCCTGAAATATCCTTTATTTTATAACAGTATTTTCAGTATGTTTCTCTCTGAACGTTCACAAAACATTTTCTATGAAATTCAGACCATGTTTTGAAGTTCATAGAACGTTTTCATAATACATAAAATACATCACACACAATGAGACATGGCCAGAGAGAGAGAGAAAGAGAAAGTACTCCGAATAAAGAAATGCGAACTGGTAATAGAATGCAATTAAGGGTTCTGGAAGGTATCACTTTTGTACACAATCAGGGGGCTGTACTTATGAATGGTGTTTTATTCTATGTGATGTGATTTGTGTTAATATTGACAATATATAGTCGAGAGAAATAATCCATACCCATATAAAATAAAAAGGAATCAACATCCTGAACAATTATTTACTAACACCACTCTTTTTTGAAATTCCAGGTTTAAAGATTATATACAACCTTAAGAAACCCGAAGGCCAGCGACTGGAATCTTTGAAGGTTCTTTGTCAAAACTGTTCTGTTCCAGTTTATGAAGATCTTGACGATAATAAAACATACAGCATTGTTGTTATTTCACATCTGTTGGATGGAGGACGATATCCAATACTGACGAACAAAGTGAAGAATCGAACAACTGGGCGCCTCGATATGGACGTTTTCATAGAGTTTTTAGCAAATCGTGATCCTGTCTTCATTGAGACAGGAACAAGACTTACATTCAATTAAATGAAAATTTGATTTGTATTTACAAGAGTTCAACGATTATATATTCATCTATTTAACATGTAGTTCCGATTATGATTCTAAAATACAAACTTAAAGTCGAGAAAACAACCAAGTTTATTCTCAATAGTATTTGGCGATTAGCTGAAATTATTTACATGCTCAAACTCTTTCCCGTTTCAGAACATTCGAGTGATTGAAAAGGAAAAACCCTAATTAGTTGATTTTACATAGATTGAATTCAGAAATACGATTGCAGTTTGTCCATTCATATTTAAATGAACTAAGGTCTATAAATTCATCACAGTGAATACTACCTGCAAAATTTTGCTCTAAAAGCGCATATCATTAATTTATCTCTGATTTTCTATGTTGATAAACTGAGTTGATGACGAATATCATTATATGATTCACCCCATCTCAAATGCTTAAATCCTTGGGAAACGATTATGTACAGCTTCAAATTGTCTTTTATGAATTTCATCATAGCAAACTCCAGCAATATTCATTTCTCCAACAGAGATCTAAACACTTAAGAGTTCAACGACTTGGAAGTACTTACATCAAAGTATACACAGGCTTTACTACTTCCAACATTTTGATTGCTGTAGCTGTATTATATTCGGCATGAAGTTGTGTAGAAAATGAATTTGAAGATTTGAATTGAAAGGGTTATATTTTTAGGAGTGATTACTTTTTGGGAAAGGAAGTTTTTGGCTTTCTACTACTCCATCTTGNGGAATCACTAGCTTTGAGTATATTATTATCAATTTTCAGTGTCATATTATTTTTTAAAAGAATTTTATTATATCTGTTTCCAAAATATAGTACTTTAGATTTGTCAGGATTGATCTTTAAGTTGTGCTCATTGGATATTTCTTTTATTTTATTCAATTCATCGTTTATAATATCTTCAGTGATATCTAGATTTTCGGTACGAAAACTGATATATACCTGTGTATCATCAGCAAAAGCCTGCACTTTACAATTATGAGTATTCTTTAGAATATCAGCTGTGTATATAATGAAAAGAAGAGGTCCAAATATAGACCCTTGGGGGACTCCCGAAAGTATGTCAAGCGTAGATGAATATGATCCATTATTCGATATTTTTTGAGAACGCATTAAAAAGTAATTTATATATTTTTGACAGTTGATTTTCTTTTCTCATTCAATTCAGTACATATATCTTTCATTTATACTTTGTTTTCATTACCGTTTGATGATTTTGATGTTGAAGAGTGGGTATAAAGGCTCTAAGCCTGCCATAGTTCAATCTTTCATAGATATGATTTTATAAACTTCCATCGTTTACTGATTGAAAAAAAAATGTTTTCATCATTATTAACATGTCATTGTAAAGATTTATTTATTGGTAACATGTGACAATTTTCTTTTCTCCATTATAAAATATTTTCTTCTTGCCCAAGTTCTGGTGATAATACTAAACCCTTGCCTCTCCCGAGACACCTACTTTTACCAGAAGTTGGGCATATCCAACCTTGATTCAATATCCTTTATGTTATTGAATATTCAGTCAGCCAGAAACAAAGTTAACGAATTATCTGTTTTCCTAGAGGATTTAAATCGTCCAGATCTGATTTTGTTGACTGAACATTGGCATGCTCATAATGCACCTTTTTACTTACCTCATACAGAAATGTCAAGAAACAGCAGAATTAAGAGCATCCACGGAAAAATCATGATTCTTCGAAATAACTAACTGAATGTAAAATTCGTCAACGTGGAGGGATTCAATGATTACTTGGAAAAAAAATCATTTGAATTTTGCTTGTTACATTCACAAATATTGAACATGTATGTATTATGTGTTTATAGAACACCCACATCGGATGTAGATATTTTTATACAAAAGTTAGAACAGCTTCTCAATGTACCGTTAAATGTAACTATTCTGATAGCAGGAGATTTAAATGTTAATTTCGCTGACAAAAAAATCTCTAATCACCCAATCTCTAAATAACCTTTTAACCTCATTCAATTTGACTATGCATATAGAGTCCCCTACACGAATATCTCAGTATTCTGCCACAATTATAGATTATTTATGTACGAATTTAGACAAACACTATATTTCTTGTGATACTACTTCAGCTGGTATGTCCGACCACAAAGCTATATATAGTATGCTGCTGTAAAGACCTTTATTTCTGAAACGTGCATTCTATATGACAGTGATATTCATGAGCTGAAACAGGTGATTGTTTCCATTGGAAAAAAGTCGTCATCTGGTTACGACGACATTACAGCAAACATTTTGAAAAATCTCCCAGATAACACATTAAAACTCTTGACCAATATTATTAATGCATCATTTCAATCAGGAAAATTTCCTGATTTCCTGAAGGTATCATTGGTAGTAACTCTATATAAAGGAGGAAATCAGGACGACCCCTCGCATTATCGGCCTATTTCACTAATTCCCACATTAGGAAAACTTATAGAAAAACTAGTCAAGCTGAGGATATCTGTATTCCTGTCAAAACATAAAATCATCAATGAAGAACAGTTTGGCTTTCAAAGTGGTAAAGGCACTAATGATGCAATTTTCTCACTCATGAAAAAAGTTTATACTGGAATCAATAGTGGCGAGGTTGCTGCTGCAGTATTTTGCGATTTCTCGAAGGCTTTCGACTGAGTGGATCACGAAATACTGCTGAGGAAGCTTCCTTATTACGGTTTCAGAGGAGTGATACTGAGCTGGTTCAACTCATATTTGTCAGGTATTTTGCAATTTCTCGAAGGCTTTCGACTGAGTGGATCACGAAATACTGCTGAGGAAGCTTCCTTATTACGGTTTTAGAGGAGTGATATTGAGCTGGTTCAGCTCATATTTGTCAGGTAGTAGCCAGATGGTGAAAACAAACCACCGCTCAGAAATTGGAAAAATACATCAAGGGTGTACCTCAAGGTTCAATACTAGGGCCAACATTGTTCCTCATCTACGTCAAAGATTTAACAAGTATAAATATTTCATAGAAATTCACACAATTTGCAGACGGTACTACCATGTTTTGGCAATTGGACAAACGATTTAACTAAAATAATATCCAACGATATGATGACAGTGAAAAATTGGTGTGATTCGAATCGTCTTTCTCTAAATATTTCGAAAACTAATATAGTAACTTTCAGATGCGAACTTGACAATATACCCATTGGGAGTAACATCATTGAGATCAAAAGTAGCCTAAAATTTTTAGGAGTACATATCGATAGTTAACTGAAATTTGAAGAACATATTAATGCCTTGTGTAACAAAATGTCCTCTGGATGTTATGCAGTCAGAGTAGTCGCAAATGAACTTGGTTTAACAGCAGCCAAGACTGTTTATTTTTCTTTGGTGGAATCTCACTTGAGATATGGAATTCCATTTTGGGGATAATCTAGTGGTTATATATTTCAAAATATTTTAGTTTTGCAAAAACGAGCCATGAGATATATGTGCAAATCAAAACGTACAGACTCTTGTAGATTACTCTTCAACACTCATGGAATTCTAATAGTGATTTCTATCTTCATAATGGAAACAGTTTGTTTAATTGAAAAATATTCGAACACATTTCAATCTTCACCAACCCATTATGTGACAAGGCAATCCAACAACATTAAGTTGCCAATACCTAGAACATCACTCATAAGAGATTCCATTATCTATAATGGTAGCAAAATGTGCAACCATTTGCCAAAGAATATAACAGAAATAAAATCTTTACAATGCTTCAGAAAAGCTGTGAAAAGTTTTTTGAGTGACAGACCATACTATAATGTACAAAAATTTGATATTTACCAGTATCCTGTAGGACTTATATGTTTATATACATATATACAAACTGATTTTATGTATGCCTGAAATATGAATGAGTGAAAATAAATGCACTTTGTTTTTACATATAATTGCATTATAGATTGAGTGAAACTTTGTCCACAAGATCAATCTTATGACAATGAAGTATATTCTCTCTCTCTCTCTCTCTATCATATGCAATTCTCCAGCATATGTTTATTATTCTGACTCCCATCCCGTAGTATGTGTTTGTAGAGTTGTTTCCGGACTTTGTCTAGTGGTACATCCTACTGAATCAATTGCAAATAGAGCTTATGACTAGTTGGAACAAGTTGGAATAGAATTTCACTGGTTCGGACTTCCATTGTCTACTATATGAAATGATTTGAAATCCCACGGGAGTTGGCCATTTTTCGCTTGATGATGGGTTTCCATATGTTGCGTATTTCTACGCTGGCCTGGCTGAATACGTTGTTGGACAACATGTATGCGGCTTCCTTAAATTTTCTCCTAAACCAATGTTCCTCTTTGTGCAAGATCTCAGCTTGGGACCACTCGATGTTGTTTTGATGGGTCCAAACATGGTCTGCTATTCCTGATTTGTTTGTTATATTTTAACTTGTAGTTTATTTCACTATTATTTTATTTCAGGTTTATTTTGCTTAATATAATTGTTATTTTCAGCTATTCATTTTCAATTTTTCTTTTTTTTTAGTTGTTTCAGGGATTTCAAATCATTTTATATAGTAGACAATGGAAGTCCAAACCAGTGAAATTCATCATGAAACATTGTCAATCACCTTCAAACAAGTTGGAATAGGTTGTCGAATTTGTAATATTAGTTCAAATCAAGTATTGAAATTGTGAGAGAAATTCGTTCAAGCTGATATTTTGAAATTCTCCATTGTTAATTTTTTCAAATATGAAGGTCGATCAAATTCCATCTCGATTATTTGAAATTGATCAATTGAAAAAAGTTGTAAGATATTCTAAAAAGATTTGAACAAGTGAGAGAGGAAGAGAGAGAGAGAGGGATAACATTGAAAAGTTGAGCTGCTGGAAGTTAGTTCTGTAGATAAAATGGACATGATGTATTGAAACCCACAATCAGAAAGAATAGTACGTTTTATTCATAATATTTTACAATATGAACATAAGGCATGAAAATGTTTAGGAATGTCATCAAGTAGCTTAAAAATACACGGCTTTGTTGGATAATCTTGGGACTTCGTTGCACACCCATTAGAATCTGACGACGTAAGCTATTCAAACCGATTTTGAAAACAGTCTAGATTTTATTATCCCAAGTAGTTATGGTTTATGAATCTACGGAAGCACAGAAAGGCCATATATTTTAATTTTTTCCTTGGAAATTCGTACTTTAAAATTCGCAGTTTCTACTGTGAACTCAAAATTTCGTCTTTGATTTCGAAATTTCGTCATTAAAATTGTGATTTCGAATTTAGAAGTCGACATTTCAAGTGGCCCTTCTGCGTTTCCACAGATACCAGTTGCAACTATTATGTTTTAATTATTTTATATCTTCCATATATTGGAATTGAGATCTATTTATCGTTAATGCAGAATTTGGTAAATAACAGTCAAAAATATTGGGTGTTAGTACGAAATCAAATATTTAAGAGTGAACTTTCGAAAGCAATACCTTTTGGTATTGGCCAAGAAGTAATAACTTGACGAAGAAAGGAAACCTACTCAACAAATATTGAGGTAATCAATTCAAAATCAGTTCTTTGAAATAATTGGAGTCTCTTGACATGAAATTGAGAAAAAACTAGTAAAGGTGTTTTTAAACGAGAAGCTGAGTTGATTGTATGATGCATATAGGACAAAACACGCATGTTAAAAAAGTTGTCGAGGCTGAAATCCTCATTGCTTGAAATTTTCCACATCAATATCACATAGGTATATAATCATGCGAAAAATTATGTAGACCTGCGAAGAAAGAAATGGAGATGTAAGTATTCCAATAGAAAATTGACAAATTTTTGAAACTGAATATATTCAGTCTTCGTAGGTCTTTTCATTACGCGAATACTAAATATGTAAATAGTATAAGAAGTAATCTTGACTGAGTATAATTTGAATATATTTATTACTAACATTACAATTCGATTCAAGACCATCTGAAAAGTAATAAACTTTCCTGAATCGAAATCGGAATTGTAAAGGAGGAATTTCTATTATTTACATTTCGTTATACAAGAACAAGATGCTGAATGTTTAATTCTGGTGCTTGTGATGAAAATTATTATTATGGAAAACGAAGTGATTCAGTGGAATTTTTTTTCTGTATACACTCTACTATTGAAGGTATCACAACACTTGGTCGTTCAACATCTTGACTCATCTTAAATATTGGAGTGTTGCTTTGAATTTGTTAAAAAATCAACACTGGGTAAGCCCAATCTGATGCTCTTGCTGATGAACAGAATAATTTCACCTAGTCACTATTAATGTTGGTTTCAAATCATAACCTTGAAATATTTTCTTGCGTGATGTTATTGAATTGAATTTGATCACACATACATCATCTTGGACCAACCCCGTGAGATTACAACTAACTATCAACTAGACATACATTTGACTTTGGACCCTTAATTATCCGTTTTGGAATTGGTGTAGTTGAATCGATCAGGTATAGAAAAATTAGGATATACGCCCATTATACAATGCTGCTTAAACCATTTTCAAGTATGTGCAATGGAATTTGTATCCTTTGGTTCGTAAAGGAGCCTGTTTCATTTCAAGAAGTTTACTAGCAACTGGTATTTTCACTGATCCATGATTACTCAATTCATTTCCACTTATTTCAGTACAAATGACGTAATTATAGCAAATCGCAAGATGGCTAGAAATACCATGATCCACGTAATCACCCCTCCCTAGGTGTAATATTTTGACGAAAAACTGGATCCACGGCACTCATGATCCTTTACAAAATAAAGACATCCATTGACAGAGGCGCTAAGCGACCACCAGTGTTTACATTTGGAAACGATTCTTGCTCCATCTATCAACATGTGTTCAAAGTTAGGTCAATCTTATTCGTTGCGTCGAGAGATTTTGACAAAAGTGAATCGGTTTAAACATCAGGGCTTTTTTGCATCTTTGCAAATTAGATACAGGATATCGTTCCTAAGATCTACCAATCTGAAAAATATTGGAATATGGTAACACAACATAAACTAATATAATATACCACTTAGTTTTTCTGGGATGCATGTAAAATGTATTGGCCCAAAGGTACTATAATACAATTTCATTACCTGTACAAGAGCCTGCTATCTGTCAAGGTTTAAAATTGAGAATTTTGCTACCTAGTGGTGAATGGCAAGATATGTCTTAGATAAGAGATGAGTAGTAGTACTAGAGTACCACCAAGATTTAGCCAAAGCCTTGGTAGATAATAAAATTAACCTGGGCGACCCTGGACCCTGGCGCTGAAGAAATATCTGGCGATGACCAGGAAAAATCTACGCTTAACAGTAGCACATTTCCAAAACTCAAAGATGAATAATACCGTCATCTTTCATTGATTAGCGGAAGTATCAGTGAGGTACGATATTCTCAAATTAAAGGCTCCTTCTACAGAGTGACATAATGGAGATCATTGATAGTAGTAGTTCAAGTATTACTCACTGTTGCAGTACCACGCACTGGTTCGATTTCCGTTTCTGTACAAAGTACAGAAAATTCATATTTGATTCATTTGACATAATAGTTCCCTGAAGTATCATTCTTATTTTTCGAGTTTTCCCATCAACAAAATCATGGAGATAGATTTTGATCCCTGTTCTTCAGTTTCGTGTTGAATTTTGTTAGAGAAGCCTATGTATTTTAATCAACCGTAGCGCCCAATATCATACATGGAAAAAAATGAGTTGAAGGAAAGATATACCGACAAATTGAATTTAAATTGAGAAATATCTATCAGACCGATAATAATGAAATCATTAGAATAAATACCAAGCGTTCGGGTAATTTTGTGGAACTGTTAATAATAATTCTTTATTTCCAGTCAGACAATAAAATTGTGTGGGAAGTGTCAATACAAAATACAGATTAAAAAAGAAAAGAAAAGGGGAAGACAGGCTCATACTACAAAACTAATATGATTATGAGTTATACAAAGAATTCCTGCGACGCATGAAAACATTTTTCTAATAAATAATTCTTTAACGATTTTTTGAAGACAGAGATAGAAACTATTCAAGGCCTTTGAATGATCTGGTGTGAGATTATATATATTTGGACCAATGTATTACGGTCCACATGACGTTACTTTGAATCTAGCTAAGGGCAAATGATAATGATTCTTGGTTGTAGTAACATGTTGATGAAGTTTCAGATTTGTTGTAAAAGTTGACTCATTCTTGAACACATACATACACAGTTCAAGAATATAAATATATAACCTCCTATGGTGGTTATCTAGTTGTGTCGCATTCTATCAAAATGTATTAACCGAGTATTGAAAAATATAGTTTTGATTTTTTTTGTATGGTTATGCAGTCAATTTTACATTTTTTTCTCTTATCTACATCTTACCGACGGCATTTTATGGATCCTCAGTTTATACTGCTTTCAAGAAATGAAACAGACTTGTGAAGATTATGGTCAAAATAGATTTATCACAAATTTTTAATATAATATAGTAGGTACAAAATACAGTATGTCCCACTTATCAAAGGTTAAAATGGACAATTCATAAATATTTACAAGTACTTCCAAATTCAAAACTTCCAAAAGCTACGCTAATATTTCTTACTGATAATTCATCAATTCTAGGTTTGTTATCCACATAATGGTATGGGATCATCGTATGTGAGTTATCGTGATATATTTTTCAGTTTCATTTGCATACTTACCGTCTTCTTCGAAATTATCGAATCAGTGAATTAAAATGTACTCAGTTATTTTGTGAAACATTCGATTTCAGAAAAAATAGGGACGGTTTAGGATCTGCAACCCTGTATTTAGAATGGTCCATAATGGATATGTTCAAAACAAGAAATGAGAAAATGGTGATTGATAGCTAAAATAGAGCACCCTGTTTCATGAATTGGTCTTCTTTGAAAGGAAACGGTTATATGTATATGCATAAATGCATATTTTCAGTCAACTGAGATAACTGACATGCACTTCAGAAAAGAAAGAAGAAGATTGAATACAGAATGTGAGTTTGCTTGATGAGATATTGAGCTGTGATTACAATAACTACAAGTCTACACTACAGTGCCTTTATTTTACATCTTGCCCAAAATGAACAAGGGAACATTTCAGGTGTATACAAGTCATGTCCCTTGATGTCCCGTATGTATAAAGACCTAATGGAGGGTCCCTTGGACATCCCTTGAGGGATATTTGGTACATTCCAAAGAAGTTTCATTCACATTCCTAGAATTATCAGAATTGTTCGGAGATTCAATGTTATGTTTAGGATTTCAAAATAACACATGAATATTATTATTATGCCATTGAGAAAGATATTTCTCATAAGGATTGAGTATGCTGTATTAAGAAGACACTATTTATTTTAGGTTGATATATGAAACATTACAATGGTAATGTTCCCAAGAATATCTGAATTGTTGCTGTGTTTGGATATTGAAGTCTCATCAAAAGTTGGCTCATTGGATCTTGAACATACGTCCAGCAGCTTAGGTCATCAATAAAGTACAGTCAATGTCAACCCTTCTTGGAATTGTGTTTTGAACTATATTGACAAAGTAACATTTCTAGTCTTTGAAAGTTTTCGTTCCTAATATAAGTGTATGTGACCTCTTCCTTGCTCAAGCACTTCAGAAATGAGTAGGTAGGTAGGTATATTTTCGTATGGAGGTTTACCGAGCAAAAAAATAAACTATCACAGAGAATGGTTAACAATAATAATTCAATTATTAATATCGATCTCAACTTTTGATGTTTGTAAGTTCAAATGTTTCAAAGGTCAAATATTTGTTCTTTCTAATATTCTGTTTAAAAATTTATTTTATTATTTTCATATTCGCTACTTCTGTTGGGTGCCATGGCAAATATCAAAATCAGGACGTACCTAGAACATTCACAATCAGATACTCGTTCTAGGGATATCTCTGGGACATACCAAGTCGGTAAATACAATACCTAGTTGAAGTCCCTGGGATGTACCATATACATGGGACGTATCGAAATGATATCCCTAAAATATCTCCTTCAGCTGAATCAGTACATCTTGACGATATCCCTGGTATGTACCGTGTCCCGATCATGACTTTTACAGGGATGTTCTGTTCGAAGGATACGGATATCCCTGGGACATCCGTGGGATTTCTTTGTTCCATTTGGGACCCTCCAAACAACTTAATTTGACACCAATTGGCAATTGGCAATATAACTACAGTGAGGTGTAATGGAGGTGAAATGAGAAATGAGAGGTATAATGAGGTATATTGATAATTCAACATTTTCTGTTACTGTTGATCTAACGGTACTGAAGTGAAAAAATTCTGTAATTTGAACTGAAACACAACGATTTCTCATTCCGATTATACCATTTCCCGTTTGACAACTAGTAATAGTAGATACTTCAAAGTTCTGTTGTCTCATCGTCAATATATCTCTAAGCGAAAATGAAGAAACAAACCAAACCGTTTTAGTTTCTAGCTCACACCTGATTGAAATATTTTGAATTTGGAATTATCATTCTATATAAAGTTCAAATAAGTATTTAGTAAGGCATTTTAGGAAAAGATAAATTGCTTTTTTGCCTGATGGGCCATAAGAAATGTTGCATTTGTGTATTCACACGTCACTTCCCAGGTCTGACGAAACTTGCTGAAACTGCTCCTGACCTGTAATAAAAATGGAGGAGTCTATTAGTTTCGAAATTGAAAACAGGTATTCTCGAAGAAAAGTAATGACTTTAGGGTCTTACTCTCCAAGTAGGCTGCCAAATCTTGGTCTTCATTTTGTATTGCTAGTAGCCTTGGTGTTAAGCCACGGTGATCCGGCACATCTAAGGCTGCACCTCCAGCTACCAATATACAACAGATGCTACGCCATTTATAGGCTACAGCCTTATGAAGTGCGGTTTGAGATCTGAGTGATAAAAATAATCCATTATACTCAAAACATTTATACATGAACATTTATATATTAAAAAATACTGGTTTTTTAAATATACACAATATATTACTAATTGCAATATGTGACGCGTTTCGCTATTCTTATAGCTTTCACATATAGTCAGTGGGCATACTTGAAGACTGGCTGTACATCAAATCATCTGAAGAAAGGAACAATTCGTTCAGGCCAGTTGGATTATATCCGTCTGTGGCCAAACAGCCCGAAACCGGTCTACAAGTGTGTTCCTGTCTGACACCTGTCAGATATAATCCAACTCCCTTCGTGGTGTTAGGAGTAGTTGTTTTCTGATAGGTATCAGGCCATTAAGCTACAGTGTAGGGAGTTGAGACTGGCCGAAACGAATTGTTCCTTCATAGATGGTTTGATTTATAGCCAGTCTTCAAGTATGCCCACTGACTATATGTGAAAAATTTTCTTTCCTTATATGAGGAATTGGGCAAATTTCGGATATGCGGTTGATTACCTCGTTCACAGGCAGATGGGGCGATGACAAACCTGTTGTTTGTTGTCCGCTTCAGCCTAGTTCGAGAAATAATATTCTGAAGGAATTCGACTTTCAGTTATTGGTAATCATCGACTTCATGTTGATGATAGACACTACCTTGCACTGACGAGTGCCAAACAGCCCGAAACCGGTCTGCAAGTGTGTTTCAATAATTGGAGATCTATTGCGGCAGTTGTATCGCCAACAGCGATACTTGCACTGACACTTGTCGTATATAATCCAACGCCCTTCATGGTATTAGCCAGGGGAGTAGTTGTTTTCTAATAGGTGTCAGTCTATTAACTTACAGTGTAGAGAGTTGAGACTGGCCTGAACGAATGGTTCCTAATAGGTAGCCTAATAATAAAGAAGTAGTTTGCTTGATATAGGAAATCCATTCAGAGTAATATCACAAAGATGCCCTCGGTAATATCACATATATGCAATTAATTACTAAAAAGGTTAAGGAGTGGTGAAAGGTTAACATCTAACTGGTGATTTAGTAAATTATTGCATTGTTTCCTTTTGTTGATCTCAAATGCTTCTAAGAAATTAAGTATCAAGCCTTTTTTTTCTAGATGTAAAATTTCAAAATTTGGATCAAAAGTATGATTTTCATGAAAAATGGGAAATAAAACTTTCTATGTTTTTTACCACTTTCATTTGTAACTAATTTTGCTGCAGTTTCGTTCAATAAGGACATTTTCAGTCAATTACAAGTGTAGTTCTACAGACATATTTCAGGGCAGTCCCCAAATTTTAGCTTTATGGGTTTTATAAATTTGCTCAAATTATTGCTTGTTTTATAGGAAGTTGTAAAACTGTGTTAAGGAATATTTTATTTTGACACTAGATTTGCCTGAATAGGTTAATGAGTAGTATTTAATTGGTTCTTAATTTTGGATGAGGTAGACTTCTCTGATATTCTTTTTAATAATTTGGTCTATCGAGTTTGGGTCATAACCATTGCTATATGCTGTTTGTTTTATAATACTGAGTCTTTTTTTGAAGTCTGACAGGGATATTCAGTAGTCTGTGTATCATGCTGTTATATGCTGCTGTAATGTCCGTGTGTGATGGTTTACAGTAAATGGAAAAGCTATGTCTATTGTCTATTCTTGTTACTGTGAGGTCTTGAAAATGTATTGAGTTGTTCCCTTCCATTTTTGATGTGAATGTGATATTGGGTTGTAGAATATTGACCCAAGTACTATTCTGTTCATTTACACATTGATTTCAATTTAAGAGCAACCGGTAGACAGCTGTTTCAGCCTATTGGGCATCGTCAGTACCGGGCAAGCGGTCCCCGATTGAAGACAAAATGAGAATAACCAAGAAAAGTACTTAATAAAAATAACTGCGTCAACGCAAGCAAGACATAAGTGGAACCACCTATTGGTGTGACACCCAAGTCAACTTGCCAAGTGACGAAAAAGTTGTACTTTCAGATGCTTAATTTTGAAAAATGGAAAACTAAAAAAAGTCAGTGCCGTTCTTTGTTGTCTCAATATTGTTGTCTGTGGTGCCGACTGAGACGACACTGGATCTAATAATTTCAATTTAGTTTGAGCATAATAAGCGACTTATTACTTCAAACAACTGTAGCAAATTCCAAGCAGATCGGTTAAAGAATATTTATGATATTTTATAAATACCGTTTTTTTTTAAAAATCAACGACCTGTATCTCAGAAACGAAGCAACTCCGGATATATATTCATAGGAACTGTTTTTCTTGAAACGACCTAACGAATAACCCTCTGAAGTTTCGTACTGTAGTAAAGAAATATCCTGTATAAGAACTGTAGCCCAGTGTGTAATATTCATTTAAACCGAGGAAGCTACAGTGTTAGCGAAACGCGTCTAGAATATTAATAATAATAATAATAGTAATACCAGTTTATTTCAATCAATAAGGTTGTGCACAATGATACAAATAGGTTAAATGTACACTATGATAAAATTATTGTGAAAGACGTCAATTACATAATATATTATGTATAGCTGTATATACACAATGAGTAATAAATAAATGATTTATAAACAGTCACACAGATTGAAAAACTTTAAGTTCCAGTTGAGGAATTCTTCAAAAGTGTCACAATTTTTTTGTAATATGAATTGTTTTGTAATTGTTTAAACACATGAATATATGTTTTTACAATTTTTCACAGTCTAGGGTGAAATATTAAAAAATTTGCATCCATTCACTTCATAACTTTCATGAAACAGGGCAGTACGATGGCGTCCTGGTAGTAGCAACTGTTTTCCTCCAGTGTTATAGTTATGTAAACGTTCAGCCATATTGCTAAATCTTTGTTTAAAAACGTGCACACAGATTTCTAGGATATAGGTCCCTGCCACTGTTAAAATGTTTAATTCTTTAAAAAAATGTCTGCACTAATTTCTAGAGCCCAGTTTTGCCAGTATTCGTATGGCATATTTCTGTAGAGTAACCACTCTATTTACAGAGGAACAATTTCCCCAGTTTAAAATGCCATATTCCAGGTGGGAGTGGAAATTAGCATGATACAGAATCAGCAACATCTATTCACTACAATTATTTGCCATAAACCTCAAAGAGTAGCACGATTTTCTCAGTTTTGTGCATAGATTGTCAATATGTGGGGTCCAGATTAAGTTTGCGTAAAAAGTTATACCCAGCATTTTAAGGGATGTTGACATTTCTATTTCACTGGAGGTACCATCAGAAAGTCTGCAGTTTAGATTGTGTCCACGCAGAGTAATTAACGTAGCATTAGTATTTGATGTATTATTGTTTTTCGTCTACTTCAGCACATGTTCCAGAGTATTTTCGGCTACAATTTTCAATGCATTCAGATCGTTCTGGGCTACCAGTACATTAGTATCATCAGCATAACACACCATATGTATATTAAAGTTGTTAGTCATGTTGAGAAATCTTATGAGGTCATTTGCATAAACTACATAGAGAAATGGTCCCAGGAGCCTTGCGGAACTCCTTGAGGTATGTGTAAGGTATCTGAGTAGGATTGATTAAGTTTCACAACTTGCTTTCGATTGCTAAGGAAAAACTCTAGAAGGTGCAGGGGTACTCGTCTGTTGTGTTTTATATTGCGGTAACCACTCTTTGCTACCAAATTATGTTATTGCAACTAAAGTCTGAACTGCTTACGTTGTTCTACTAAGAAACTGAGCTGCTTATAGCTTCTAAAACTGTTTTTGTTTAGTAATTGTTACAATTCGAAATTAATTGTTTGACAATTTCGTGACGTTTTTTTCAATTATTTCAATAAACATTGGCGTAACATTGGCGTAATATTAATTTCTTCAAACTTTCAAACATCCCCAGACAGAAGGAATATTTGTAAAATTGTGGATAGTGTTATTAATTATCATCAAGAACGGGTCAGTCCATTCATATTGGAAAAATATTAAAATATGAAATTCTAATAAAACTCATGAATGCCTTTTGAAGTACTTGGAAAAACCTTCATTTTGGTTTTTTATAAACCTTAGCATCAAAATTAACCGAGTTAGCAAGACGTAAAATGTAAAAATAATCCATCAATTGAAAATAATCGTTACTACCTTACAATTCACTTCAAGTATGTACTTTTAATATGACTCGAAGTTTTGACTGGTTCAAGGTGTTCAGTTATGACTTTGGAATCGAAATGAAAAGAGGATTTTTCTATTATTTCAAAAAATCACCTTCTCTTCAAAATAAATCAATAACTCTCTTTGGGTTATTTTGTAAAAATTACAAGAATTGTAGATTGAAATTTGTAGGAGAGATTGAAATTTGCGAAAGAAAAATTTGGGCTTTCTGTTTCTCTATCTTTATACTTTTTTTTTATTTCCAGAGTGAGTAAATGAACAAAGTGAATTTCGACGAATATTTTCAATTGATGTCGTAATTTGGGAGTGATATTTTCCGAAAATCGAGGGACCAATATTATTTTGGTAATGACATGCTTAGTTTTGATTCTGATTTTTACCAAAATACATAAACTAAGGTTTTTCTAGATCTTTCTATAAGTTTTCCCATAAAAATGTTCGAAGTAGCTATTATTCGGTCGGTATTGGTCGGTATCCATTATTTTTTATGAGCTACATTTCCACTGAGAGTGATTTTTTCGTAACAAATTACTCACATTTTGAGTTATTTGCGAAAAATCTTCGAATACATGGGTTTATTGGGTGAAAACTTCAAAATCACGAATGAGTCGGAAAGTATCTACTATCACAAAAAACTCGATAAAAAAATACTACCGACAGTTAGTCAAATTATCCACTCTCAGATTTCAGACGAAACATTTTTCATCTCAAATAAGGGGTGTAATCCATCCCAGGGTACCAGGGTAGAAGTGATCTCCAATACAGGATCATCGGTAAAATCTTACAGTCAAAATTCTGGACTATAGAGCCGTTTCAACAAGACACTCTTATTGGGAAAAAATTCTTTGAATTTATACCTCTTCATCTTCACACAAAAATTGTATGAATCTTTCAAAGGAAAGAAGAAAGCAATTATTTTCAAAATACACACTTCACAAGGATGTGTAGATAATGCAAACAATTAACTTTCGGAACAAACTGAAAGAAAGAGCCCTCTTGAAATAATTACTTCAATATGAATATTGAATTGAACGAAAAAAAAAAAAAAATTAAAATAAGTACTTTTATATGAACATTGGCTTGTTTAAACATCACAGGAGCCATGAAAACAACACCAACCGCGGCAATGGAATTAATTGCTGGTCTGGCCATGTTACGATTGCACACGTCTGGTGTAAACCTCGAAGTAGGAATGGGTCAATTGTGGCTGGGCCTGTGGCGGGAAGCGAAACTGCGCAACCTCTGCTGCAGGCAACCAGTGATGCAATTGAACCCAGGTTTGTGTTTAATAAACCCTAGAAAATACAAATAAAAGAGAACATTGAGTCAAATGCTACAAATGCAATACGCATATATACAGACGGCTCACAAACCAAAGAAGGCTCAGGATGTGGAGTGTACTCCAGATCACTAAACCTAAGGATTGAGTGGGGGATGGGAAAAATACCAGCGTGGTCCAAACAGAACTGGCTGGTATCTCAATCGTCACAAAAGAAATAACCTGAACTTTGAGACACAAACTGGAAGAAAAACTTCTCCCGAAACAGCTATTTTCATATAAACTTTGAATTACACGAAAAGAAAACTTTCAAAACAAGTACTTTTATATGAACATTGGCTTATTTAAACTTCACAGGAGCCATGAAAACAACACCAACCGCTGCAATGGAATTAATTGCTGGTCTGGCCATGTTACGATTGCTCACGTCTGGTGTAAACCTCGAAGTAGGAATGGGTAAATTGTGGCTGGGCCTGTGGCGGGAAGCGGTACTGCACAACCTCTGCTGCAGGCAACCAGTGATGCAATTGAACCCAGGTTTGTGTTTAATAAACCCTAGGAAATACAAATAAAAAAAACATTGAGTCGAATGCTACAAATGCAATACGCATATATACAGACGGCTCACAAACCAAAGAAGGCTCAGGATGTGGAGTGTACTCCAGATCACTAAACCTAAAGATTGATTGGGGGATGGGAAAAATACCAGCGTGGTCCAAACAGAACTGGCTGGTATCTCAATCGCCACAAAAGAAATAACCTGGAAAGGAATTTCTGGCAGAAACATAACCATCTACCCTAATACCCTAGACAAGTCCTATTAGCATTGAACAGACAACGTGTTACCTCAGGGCTAGTACTAGAGAGCCACCAAGATTTAGCCAAAGCCTCGGTAGATAATAACATTATCCTGAGGTGGGTTAAAGGACACGACAGGAGTAAAGGTAATCGACTCTTTAGCCAAGGAAGCGGCTGGATTGAGAATTTTAGGACCTAGCCACTGTCAACTGAGGAAACACCTCCACAACATGGGGCTAGTGGACACACCTCTATACAGGATGTGTGAACAGGAAGATGTAATTCTCAAGTGTGTCCTATGCGAAAGTTTGGAGTTATCGTCAATGAAAGAGTGTGTGGTCGGCGAGTCTTGGTCTACACCTGCCTATATAAAGGAGATGTCTCCCAGAGACCTGTCCACCTTCCTGGAAAGGACAGAATGGACGATGACCTACAATGGGTCACATGTAGCCTAAGTGCTGTGGGTCTACACTTACACTCCCTACTCTACAGATAAAAAGATACAGATGAACATTGAGTTATACAAAAATACGGTTTTCTAATGCATTCATGTGAAGGGTTCATTTTGAAATCAATTTATATCTTCTCTTCTTTGAAAAGCCAAAACAGTTCTTCTCCAAAAAGTGCGCCTTTTGGCTTACACTCCTATTGAAAAAATTCCGACATATATCTCCGTTATTCATCATTCTAACTTATTTTATTGTATTCGGTGTAAAAACAATTTATTATCGAGCTGTCAATACATTTTCATTTTGTAAATTGATATAACTACCTATTAAAGACGTAGGGGTGGGGGATTACATTCGTAACACATCAACTGTTTTATTGTCAAGAAATGCAGAAGTATAAACATCTTCCACCATGAAATTTCCTGAAATTGGATATTTATTTCACAATGAATTTGGTATTTCGATTTAGTTTGGAAATGAAGCGAACCACTTTACGCTCAGCTATAAAATTGAACCTATATCTTTTCCAAATTACAAAATATTAATGAAACCCGTTTTATTTGCCGAACTTTATCACCTCCAGATATTTATTTGTTTGGGAACGAAGTACTAAAGTGATGTTTAAGGCGAAAAATAATGGAAATGCAAAAGAATCCTGAAAAGTTATTGGAGATATAAACGTTTTTATGTCATTTCTGAAAACAAATAAAACCCCTGTATCAATTCTGATATTTTTCGGAATCATCAACTGCTCAATTTTCCTTGAAACCAATACACATAGAAGGAATAGAGAATTGGCTCAAAATCATGAACGAATACGAAAGAGAGCCGTTATCAACTGTGCCAATATTATAGAAAAACGCAAGGAATCGTCCATTTTATTGAAGGGGTCAGTCTTTTCTGATATTTCTGACTTCACCTCTTCCACTTCCAAGCGAGGATAACAATCACTCCGATTCTTTCAAAATTCATTGGAAATTTTACTCCGGGAATTTATGGGTTTTCAATTCCAAAAAAAAACTTTCCGAAAATTTGTCGAGAAAAGTTACTGAGTTTCTGAAAAATTCAAAAAGATTTCTTGTTATGATTCCGGGGATGTGAAAACTAATAAATGTCAAGAGTCACTTTAGTACTTTGCTAAATAACATCCAGACAATATTTTTAGAAAATTTTCTCAACATCGGTCTATGAAAAAATGTTATCTGATAAGTTGTGAAAAATTTCAATCGATAATTTGAGTTTGTGTAGGTTACTTTATGGAACTTTCAACCTGATCATTACCTGTAAATAACTTTCAAAAAAATCATGAAGCGACAATGTTGGTGATTGTGAAAGCTATTAGATTCTCTTCTCCCAATCCAGTGCCGAGAAAATTATTGATCTGACTCAACAGTGACTTTACTTGGTTTTTCAACAGGAAGGTGATCCTCCGCATTATATTTTGACTGCTCGTCAATATTCAACTTTCGTAGGCCTACATTCTCCATAGCACTGCATCAGGAGAAGAGGCAGCATTGAAAGGTATCAGTATTCATTAGATTTGTCGACCGTTGAATTGTTTTTGGGGAAAACCCGAAAATTTGATGTGTTGCTCTTACTAGAGATTTATATTTTAAAGTAGACCACGTTGTGACACAGTAGATCAGAAAAGATTCGACCAATGAAAAAGTAATTTTCATTGTATCTTCACAAACTACACCGGAAAAAAATTGATGTTCACGAACTTCATTTCCAAAAAATATCACGACATGTTTCTCTATAGCAGTAGCTTTTTCAAAGTGAATAACATACTGAAAACTAATTTTCACTCTAACCTTTTATATACCCCACGTAATCACTAGAGAATAACATGAGTGTGAAAAAAAGCATGTAATAGAAACACAGAAAACAATATGGATCATTTTTAGGTCTTTGAAATCAGTTAATGTGCCACCTATAAAAGTTTGTGAAGATAAAATCGATTTTGGTGTAGTTCATGAAATTACTATAGATTTTCATGAAGTAACGGCTGAGTCAATGAGAAAAAAAACCGTTGTATCTTATTAATTTAACATGAGTGTGAAAAAAAGCATGTAATAGAAACACAGAAAACAATATGGATCATTTTTAGGTCTTTGAAATCAGTTAATGTGCCACCTATAAACGATTGGAAATGTAACAACAATGTTTATATGTATAGTTTGTCATATGTAGGAAGAGCTTTCTAAATATCTATATGAATCTGTCCACTATATGCACATCAAAAGACAATGAAATTTTGATCACATATCCGTTTTTAAGCGAAAATGGAGCTCAAATTATTGTAAATCTGTAATCCACCATGTGATTGTGTTCAAGAAAAAACTAAAAATACTCACCACTCTCAAATCGCCGCTCTTAGCTGCCATCAGAAGACATTCATTGGGCCTCTCTTCCAAGTAACTGCAATAGTTACAGAAAATCCGTAGTATTGAATGCAAAATTGAGTAAAAGAACGAAATATCAAAATATAATATCAAATAATCTTACCTAAAAGCATAGTACGAATCTTGATTCAAACCAAACAATCGCTCAGTGATGCTGCATGCACAGTCCTTATTAGTGTGAGAATATAATAGATAGATGTAGTTTTCATTGTAGATGAAGTAGTATATCAAACTGTTTAAAGAGTGTGTTGTGCACGTAGAAAATAGTTCAATTTCATTGTGTTTTCGAAATGAATTTTGAAAAAAATCATCCACGAGATTAAACAAAATAATGGACCAATAGGTTATTGAAAAAACTCTTGGATCAGTCGAGTTTTATTGCCCCTGTTGTGGCCGTCTTTCCTGGGACCAAATCTTGTGGTGGGCCTTTTTGTTTATTAAAAACAATCGGAAAGATTTACGGTGGTAACATTTTCTGTAATGGTATTATTTCGATATGAATAAATTTCATTCAAATAGTAACAAACAGCAAAGGTATAGCAAAGCATTGGTCTAGCTTGTTGAAATATCAACTCATTCTTATTGTGAAGGTCACTATGTTGGGATGATAATCGACTGATCCAAGCGCTATCTTTCTGAAACCAACAAGTACTCCAAAAATGTTTTCTGAATACTCATTTGTTTGAATTAAAAACTACTGTGTGTTTCAACAAAGTTGAACCATATCTACATAGATTGAAACATTAATTCAAGAAGTGGAGAACATAAGCCAGACTCAGTTGAAACCAGTAAAAACCTCATTACCATTGAATTCTAAAATTTACTTTTTCCACCACCACAATCTGAAGGTTTATTAACACATCTGATCAATGTTTTCACATTTTAGAGGGTTAGATAGAGTACACATGAACTGAATTCCTTAGAAAGCGGGTGATTAACCAATAATTGAGATTGATATAAATATTTTGTGAAATTGAATTGAAAAAAAGTGGTTTCTTCAGTATATTATGGTAATTTTGCTATCACCTTTGTTTCAATTGAATTCGATTATTCAAATCATTTATTGGGAATATAGTTCAACTAGACTCTGTAGATTTTCCTGTGGTGCTACTCAAGGATCGATCCTAGGACCAAGTTCCGCCATATTCTAGGGTTCTGAAGTATTCGTCAGGAGCTTCAAAATGATGTATCACAAGACCCCCTTTCTATTTAATTTTTTCCCATATGGCGCTCAGCTGTCAAATTGAAAGTTTCATCTGTCAATTTCACTTCAAAGTAAAGTATTTATGTATTAACTTCATTATCCCAAATTTCAATTCATTGAGTTGACTCGTTCAAAATATTAAGGGGGGGGGGACATTAAAGAAATGCACTGTATACTTAAATGCGATATTACCACTCATTTTATTTTCGTCTCGTTCCTTCTTTCATAAAATGAACCAAACTCTTCTCAGACATGAATGAGACATTATATCATGAATAACATACCAAATGTGGATAACGTGATAAAGTGGAATAACGAGTTTATTTGACAACTGGCTTGTATGAAATTTTGTATGAACTGATAACAAAACCTCAATCTTACTGCCTGACAGAATATAATTTTTTGAAGAGTTTGTGTATTTTTTTAATGAATAGTTATTTTTTAATAAATAACATGATTTCTTGTATGCTCCCGCATTTTGTGGAGGATATGTTGAGGTACCCAGTACAGCAGTACAACACATTTATAATACCCTTAACTCTTCCAAAATTCATATTGACTGAACCTTATCTACCATTTGGGTTCTTTTTTCATCGATATTTGTCAAACCAACCAAAGAAAAGGATGCAGATCAAATACTGATTCTCGGTGATCACATAAAATTGGCTGGTAATTTCCAAAATTCACTTCATTCAATAAATTCAGAATCATTACTCCTTCGAAGGCCAAATATTAGAGCCCCATTCTATATTAACTCCACACAAGAGTATAATAGATTCTGTAGTCTAGTTTTAAGTATACCTCCAACAGTAATAAACAATTGGTTATTTTCACAGAAATGACACCATTTCATCGTCTTTATGTTCGTTATTATCGACGGATATAAAATATATCCTTCTATCATGTTTTAGTACTTGTTTGGAGTTTAAGAGCCAACGATTAATTTGAACAAAATAAATTTCCATGAACTTTGATGTACGTTGAATAATGATCATTTCATCCTAAAGAATGATCTTCTGGAATGGGTCGTATTACGTATTATTAAATATACAAGAGGTTTCCATATGCAGAGGTTATTGAAAGTTTTATGATTGTACCATGAGACGTTTAATGGGCATTTATATTGTAATGTTATGACGCATATGATACGAATAGCACATAATTTTAGGAAATCTGGAATCAAATTGGCAGATACAAGAGTAAAGTTCAGTCGTTGTTTGGAGAATGACACTTGTCAAATTTAAAAAATTATACTTGTACGAGCCCCAATGCAAACATTTTTTGAAAGTATATATTGTGGCATTCAGAAATCTACATTTGTTGTTGTTTATTTACAGTAATCACAAAAGGGTTTGTATGGTGATGTTTTTGTGAGTATTTGCTCTGTTTCATTGCCCACGTTCACACGAGCATATACAAACAGTTGTTTCAACATCCGGGATACTGGTAAGAAGGTGTTTTTATAGAGGTATATAACTTTAAGTTGGCAACACTTTTTCAACTGGCGGCCATTTTGTTAGCTGTCGATTGATTTATATATTTAGTTTGGTTTGGCATTTCAACATTAATAGACTGACCCATAAACAACGCTTCCAAATTGTGCTAGTTTATTTTAAAAATCATGGTTCTACATATCGCGCTCTACGTCCATTTTACGGATAACATAATTGTCTATCAGAGCAATTAAATTGATTATAGTCGAAGTAAACGATATTGTGCACTCTTAAAGTTGACGGCACTCTCAAAGGCCTAAAAAACCAATACATAGAAATGAACCGGCAGTGGACTGTAGACTTGGCGGTTAGTATTGGATAATTTTTACTAACCGAGTTTTGTGAATGGCTGAAGAACCATACAATTAAATCTAAAATCATGTTACGGTGAAGAAGAGAACTCGGGGCATGCGGGGATCATTATCGTTTTCATGTCATCAATGTTCAGTTCAGGAACTGATCGCGATTTTAGTGTTGAAATTCGATATTGGTGCACCTATAATTACTTCAAATTTTTGTTTTCTGTTCAAAATGTGGCATCCTTGGATGCCACATTATGAATTTTTCCAGTGTAGTGATTCCAATAGCGATGGTGAACAATACGAAAAAGAGATACCAGTGAATAAGATTCGGAGGCATTTGAATACTGAAACAGAAAGAGTATGTTTCAATGTATATAAGAATCTACATCTCAAGTTTGGTTTCGAGGGAAATAAAATATTACAAGCAACATCAGATTTGACCGAAATTTCTTTCTCAACTGAACGTAAAATAGTCAAAAACAAACCTTATGAACGTAAGACGCGATGTGCTACAAGATTAGCAAATCTTCTAGATGTTCATCTAATAAAATCATTGAAAAAATAATATACAACTGTTACAAAAGCAATGAGATTCCTACAACTGAAATCATAAGAAAGAAATTGAATACTTCCGGCCGTAACATAAGCTGCTGTGACAAAACTCTTGGATGAAGAAACTGGGATTCAGATTTAAAATAATAAACATCAAGCAGTTATGGAAAGCAGAAGAATATTGGAATTGCGTAACAAATACTTGGAACAAATAACTAAATATGAACAACAACAACGGAAAATTTTCTATTTGGACGAATCTTGGTATGACACGACACAGTTATGAAAGGGAGGACTGATGGTTCGATAATGTGTTCGCCTAACATGCCTGTAAACAAAGGATCGCGACTGATCATTGTGAATTGTGGAGAAAGTGAAGGATGGGTTCCGGATTCTTTGAAATTTCATGAGGACTGCAATGTTGACTATCATAAGAACATGGAAGCTAATATTTTCGACCCCAAATTTGGATACGAATAGTGTGATAGTTCTTGAGAAGAAGCATCAGACTTGAAAATAATTTTCCAAAATTTGATGAAAAGGTAATAGAACTAATTAAAGAAGAAGAAGTATTACTATTACCGAAAAAGACTGGCAGACAAGAATTAAAAAAGTAATTTTAGTTGAAAAAGACTACATCCACCATAATAATGGTGTAAGTAAATTCATTGTTGATTAAAATGACGACAGTGATAGTGAAACAGAGAATATATGGAAGAGGAATTATCAGAAGCTTTCGAAGAATATTAGTGAAGTGTTTTCGAAGCGATCTATTATATACCTAACCTAACCTAACCTACTAGACGTTTGAGTGAAAAACTTTGGGAGAATATTTTTGGATCGGCGAAAGTATCGACTGTCTTTCTGGGACCATATTATTTCGACATTCGTATCAGTAAATGGGTAAACTAGAACCTCTGACTGTTTCCCGGTCGCAATGGAAAAGAGCTGGTTTTTCATTCGTATTAGTGACACCATGAAATTCAGGGGGAAAAATAGAATGCAATGAAACCGAAAAATTCTATGTGGATTAATAACCTACATTTGAATGTTTATTGATTTGACCTCCCTAAATCTTTCCCATTAAATTAAATTCACCACTTGACTTTTTCTTGTTTGAATGATATAAATGAGCCTTTCCTCGCTTTGAAACCTTTCAAATGATATGAAGAACGAATATTTAAAAAAATATCAGAATTGGAGCTGTTTTTCAGGACTTCCGAAAATTGCCGTATTCTTTGATACCACTCAATACCGACTCTCCAATATTTTCTGCAAGGTTTGTTGCAAGAGGTTCATTAAAATAAAACAAATGGTGCAAACCATACTTTATTTTGTATACATGCTAACAAAAGGTTCGGATAGATGTTACTGAATAATAATTAAACTTTTGATAATTTAGGTCATGCAGGTAAATGAAAAAGCCAAAGGTACCCCTTATTAGGACATAATGAAAATATAATATTCAAGTTATTACAGTTACCTAATACGAACCAGACTTCTCGATACGTTTCAAACAAAAAGTGCATGGTCCCTCAAAGTGAAAGAATGAAAAAATCGTGAAAAAAACCTTTGATAAAGAATCGGTGGGATGTTTTCTTCCTTAATTGTGGACAATGTTCAACTCACCCAACTTCTATCAATGGTTTTACGAACAGATGTGTTAGAGCCAAGATTATATTTATGTACCTTCTAATTTTGATACTAGCCTCAGGAGAAACTCGAGCTAACTGTTGGTTTTCCATCACAGAAACACTCTCTCCCACAGGAATACTCTCTTCGGGAACAGGTGGATCTTCTGGAGTTTCGACGACTTTCGGCGATAAGGGAGGGTGGTCACTAGGTGAATCTAAACTATCTTCTTTGCTGAAGAAAGAAAAAAGTGAATGAAAAAATATACACATGTCTATAGAAATATATAGTCTCCAGATACAAAATATTTTTCTTGAGACACAAAATAGTTGAAAATGAAAAAATACTGAATTCAACAGGACTTCTTAAATTGAGAAGCGGTTTATATTGCTCAAGCGCTACAAATTTAGGCGCACTTTATCGGGCATTTGCTATTCCAATTGATACATCTACCGGAACCTGGATCTTAGTACCCAATACGCAAATGTCCTGAAAAACCATGCCGAGAATATCTGAGTGAATAAGGTCATACTTTTACCCAGATTTTGCAAGACGGACAAACACAAGAGGCCGATGAAACAAAATCAGATACAACTTTGAGAGTGACCATTTGGCGACTCCGGTAGATATAAGAAAACATGAGTAACACATACACACATTATGATGTGATACTATGTACAGAAACTTAGATACACACACACATATATTAAACAAACATTACACACACCGGAGCCAGGAGATCAAATAATAAAACAGACAATGGGGGGTCGAATCAACAGAGGATCATTTCAAAACACAAGAGGTTAGATGTCAATTTTGGTGAACTGCCATGCAGTCGGTTGAAGATTGTTCAAAAGCGAGCGGATGGTATGAAGATTGTAGCTCCTACACTATATATAGGGTCTTCCACTGAGCGCTTTCTATATATAAATGAAACAGAGTATGTGTGAGGTACACAAAAAAAAGTCTAACGGGGTCAAATGGTACGATCTCGGTGGCCAGTTCACATCACCTCCACGTGAGATGACCATGACCTCAAATTGCTCGTGCCGAATATCTAATGTGGCACGTAGCTCCGTCCTGTTGAAACCACATGTCGTTGGTGTCCAGATCATCCAATTCAAGCCAAAAGAAGTGCTCGCCGTTGACAGTGATGGCCTGGATAACGTCGTTCTCTGGAAAATATGGAGCGATGACGCTGCCAGCCTAAAATACACAACGACTAGTGACATTTTCGGAATGTATTGGCCGCTCTTGGATTTCGTATGGATTGGTATCGTCCCAAATTCGACAATCTTGTTTGTTCACCTACCCATTCATCCAGAAATGGGCGTAATCGCTGAATATGCTTTTTCGAAGAAAATTAGGGCCAGTTACAAACTGCTCCAGAGCCCATTCAGCGAACACACGGCGTTGTCTATGGTCGTNCCGCCACGATGTTCTGAGATGCAGAAACATGCGCTCTGATTAGCTGGCGAGCTGGGTGACAGTTTGAGGTCGCTACGTGACAATTTGGTACACTCTGATTGGCTCACCGCCTAGCTAGCAGGGTGACATGACACCACGTGACAATTTGGTGCACTCTGGTTAACTGGGCGAGCTAAGAGACAACTTGACTGGTGTGATGACGTCACTGTCTGCCTGAATTCAGGATACTCCAAGGGCTAGTTGCCAACTGTTCCAGAGTCCATTCAGCGAACACACCTCGTTGGCTATAGTCGTTTACCTTCAGTTCCTGGTTCAATTGAATTTTGTAAGGGTGCAGGCCCAAGTTACGATGCACAATTTGCGAAGTCGTGATCTGTGAGGGACGCAAAATCGATTGCCTCGGATTCTCCTGCATACTCTCATAGACAGCGATCATGTTTTCGGCAGGTCTTGTATGTTTTCGACATACGGATATTGATCGATCGTTTACTGAATCAGTGGACTGTTCACCACATTGCGTTGTCCGAACAGAACACCCATTTTGATGAAACAATTTTATTATCAACACGTGTTATTGAATGCTATATTCATCCATGGTGATTTGGCAAAACATACTTACTGGCAACTAACTTGACAGATGTATCTTCCACAACAACAAAGTTCGAAAGTCTCTGTTGGAAGATCTTATGTCTTATAACTGTTGGTCAAGCCGCTCCACAATTTTGCTATTTAACACCTTGCGTGATGATAGATTAGAGAGAGATACTGAAAGATTAAATACTATATGACCTAAATTATTTCATCTTTTACAATATTCATTTTGCTGATTTGAAGTATTCCATCGCCGGCCTCCTTTTTTCCAGTTCTATAATTGTTTTGTACTAGACTCCGGGGAGATATGATAAATGGTGACATGAGCAGTTCACAGTTCAGTCAGTAGTAGATACTTGACGTGACAATGAGTCACTGAAAATCAAACGTCCTAAAACATCAGTCTAAAGTAGACACTCCACGTATAATCAAGTGAGTAATAAATTACATTGAAAAGTGTAGTCTGTCCTGAATATAAAAGGAAAAATGGTCTACATTTCCCTTTTAGGAAAAGCGAAGTTGTTATGCGGAAACTTTCATTTTCGAAAATAACCACCAACGACCAACTGAAAATACGAATTGAAGGGTAAATAGTGAACAATTTTCAATACTTTGTGGATTTAAGAATTGCACAAACACAAGTAGTCTTTTCTCAGAACGAAACTGATACAGAACTTTACACAAAGATAATTTAATCATTTGGATAGATTATCGGGACCTTATAATTTGGGCCAGATTGATTCGAAGAGTGCTCGAAGGAAGATCGAGAGGAACGGGGGAAAAGATGAAGTCATGTTCTTGTTGATTGTTTCTCTTCATTCATCTACATGAAGTGGGCATTTTGTTTTATCAGCTGAATAAAGTAGATTTGTTTATTTTTCAAATCCTCCGAGTTCTCTTCATTCATCTACATGAGGTGGGCATTTTGTTTTATCAGCTGAATAAAGTAGATTTGTTTATTTTTCAAATCCTCCGAGTTTTATTAGTTATCAAATCAATTTATATTATATTAGACAATGGAAATCCGAACTGATGAAATACACCACGAAACATTGTCAAACACCTTCAAATAAACATTGTCATTACCTGATGCGCATCTGAGGAATGTTATATGGCGCCTGAAAAGAAGTGGGTGAGGGGTTTGCTGTTTCATCTTCTGGAGTTGGGGGGACGGTTTCTTCTTCATATTCAAGAATATACAAGTTTTCCACAGCGATATCGAAGACAAAATGCAAACTCTCTTGCGCCTTGTCGATGCGAAAGAATCTTTCGGCTGTACAAGCTGAAAAAGAGAATGCTGACTGTTCTGGAAAATTTGTGTTCATGAATACTTACAGTCGATGAAACACCAATCTGAGCATATCATTTGGTCCTTGTTTTCTTCAAGAATTTTGTTTATCATTGCTCTAACTTGCTCTAAATCAGATACTGGGTTCACTTCTATCCTACCAATATTTATTGCTGAAAAATAAAATGAACGACTGTTGTTGAAACTCAAGCGTTGGATTTTTGGCGTGCGCTGATCTGGATATGGACAGGCAATCAGTAGCCAAAAACACCCAATGCCAGTAGCCAAAAAGACTCAACGCCAATAGCCAAAAAGACTCAACATCAGTCTTTTGCACTTCTATTCTATGGAAATTGAATTATTTATATTTGTTCAATATACCAGATCTGTTTCAACAATGAAGTGAATTCTCGTTTTTCTCAAAAAATATTTATTTATTCATCAGTTTCTATTTTGTCCACTTAGAAGTAGTCCCACTCGGGTATAGAACACTTATGCTAGCGTTTCTTCTAATCCTTGAAGCAGTTCTGATGTGCACTTTTCGGTATGTCTTTGATCTCCCCCAGGGATTCGGGTTTTATTTTTTCAATCGTCGCGACGCGAAACGCCGTCTTGCATGGGTCTTTTCAATGTTGGAACACGAAAAACTCACAGGGGGTCACATCCGGTGAATACGGTGGCTGAGGCATGATAATGGTGTTTTTGGCCAAAAAATCAATCAATGACTTTTGCATTATCATAATGCAAAGGTCATGAATTATTTATCCACAATACGCGACGTTTCCTTCATATTGCTTCTCGCAAGCGGCGTATAATTTCAAGATAATACTCCTTATTAATCGTAGGACCATGATGCACTACGCCACGGTAATCGAGGAAAACAATGAGCAAAATATTGACATTTGATCGAACTTGAGGTGTTTTTTTGGTTTTGGCGTGCTTTTTATGGACTTGACGTGCTTTTTCTGGCTTTGACGTGCTTTTTTGTTGTTGGCCTTTCTGTGCTCGTTCACTGGAACTCTACCATAATCGAAATATCAATATCTCTCCGTTTAGAATTACGTAGACAGCTTTCTATCAGAAGAAAGGCATTACACTCAAAAAGTAAATACATTGCTCATTCGTTTTCGATTATAGCCAAATTTAACGTTGTCTCGGGGGTTGTTAACGTCACAAGTCGGCTGCGTCATTATTCGCCATGACTAGGAATCATTACTGTTGTGTTGAATTTGAAACGACCACAATGAATCTGATATATTTTGATGTTTCAATAGCAATTTCGCATTCGAAAAATACTTTGCATACCTGGCGATGTAGTATAAAGGGCTATTTAGGTTAAGGGCGCCTAGAACAGGGGTCGGCAAGTAGTTTTGGGCGGGGTCCGAATACTGTGGGAACATTTTAACGGGGTCCATAGAAAAAAAACAAATTTTAATGATGAAGTGCTACATATCATTTCGGTTTCAAATCACATTCTGAATTATAAAAAAAATACAAGACCTCTTATTAATGAGAGAAACTACACTGATGGTTTCGAGCCAGTTTTTTATAGTTTGGTTTTCGAGAGGGACAGCAATTTCGATATTTGTTTTTCAAAAAATTCATCTTTGAGACAGATGTTCCACATATGTATGCCGAGCCAAATATAGTGGCCAAATTTATAGCTAGTCTTTTACAATTTTCATATTTTTCTGGGACATATGTGGCCCAAAATTCTTCAGTGGATAACGTTCTATACATTTGCAAAGATACATCTTCTTGCAAATCAATTATGCCCATTTGAAGTGATGGCTTTGACAGATTGAACAACTTAGCAGCCACATTTGTTCATTTTGCCGCTGCATCAATTGCAGGCTAGATAGAAAACTTATCAGTAGTTGGTAAAATAGGCAACTTGAAATAGAATATGTTAGATTTTATTTGTGTTATTTTGATTGATAAAGGTATGGTATACCTCATCTACGAATTTTGATGTGTATAAAAATGGATGCTTGTTGGTTGGTTGTTTGGTTGGTTGTTTGGTTGGTTGTTTGGTTGGTTGGTTGGTTGGTTGGTTGGTAAGGGATAAACTTCTACATCGCTCAACCGATCGTGATGAAATTCGACATGTATATGTAATTTTTCATAGAGAAGGTTTATAGGATATCCGTAAACGGATCGCGGTCCGGCTGTTGCTGACCGCGGCCCTAGAACATCAGTAACCGATAAAAATGTTGAAAAAGTGAAGAAAATTGTTTTTGTTTTGGAGAATCGTCGAATCACTATTAGAAAAGTTGCTGAGGATGTAGGAATATCGGTTGGCACATGTCATACAATCTTTTTGTACATTTCGGGCATGAAGCGTGTGACAGCGAAGTTCGTTCCAAAATTGAATGCATTTTGACCAAAATAACCGTTGCAAGAGTATCGCTCAGGAATTGTTGAAGGAGATCAATGACGATCCTTGAAAGGGTCGTAACTGGTGACGAATAATAGGTATATGGTTATGACATCGAAATCAAAGTCCAATCGTACATATGAAAGAGCCCAGGAAAGCAAATGTAAAATGTGTTGCTTACTGTATTCTTCGATTACTGTGGCGTAGTGCATCGCGAGTTCTTACATGGTCATACGGTCAATGAAGAGTATTTTCTTGAACCTATGCGCCGCTTGCTAGAAGTGATAAGAAGGAAACATCTGGTATTTTGGAAAAATAATTCATGGCTTCTGCATCACGATGATTCAACTGCCCACATGTCATTGCTTGCAAGTAATTTTTTGGCCAAAAACAACACCGTAATCATGCATCAGTCACCGTATTCACCAGATTTACCCCCTTGTGACTTTTTCCTGTTCCCGAGATTGAAGAGTCCCATGGGAGGACGGAGTTTTGCAATGATTGAGGAGATCAGATCTGCTTTGGGAATTGGAAAAACCGTTTGGACAGGTGTATCATATCTGAGAGGGCTACTTTGAAGCGGACAAAATAAAAAATGAAGAAAGAAAAAAAAAAATTGAAAAAAAAGAAAAAAAAACTAATTTTTAAAAAAAAGCCGAAACACAAACCGAAATTCGAACTCACCGGCTTGAGCGAGGAGATCTTTATCGTTGTGAAGTTGCTCGTAATCGGCCATGGTCAATTTATGTACATTGAGTTTGAGATTGTCTAATGCAGTTTGAGTCGGGATCGATTTCCCGTATTTTCGTTTCGCGAGCATTGGCGCCTTGTTCAAGTGGGTTAAAGTTATCACGGATGGAGTCAACTTGCACGCCTCCCCATCCACTTGCATCGGGATCGTCTTCGAGGTGATTATCTTCGCCGATCGGCACTGGGTTATGCATGTACCGTGCCCGCCCGCTTGCAGGAGAGGCTGGAATTGAAGCACGTATTTTGTGAAAAGTTATATTTAGATTTACTGGATACAACATCCTACTGAGATTTTATCTGAAACCGTTTCAGAATAATATAGACATTTACCAAAGGAACTTCCTCACTTTTCGCGAAAACACTATGGTTCAAGCGTGGGTATTTCAACCATTGACAATTGAATGAGAGACTTAGAAGGGATAGTCTCGCTTACAAGTTGAAATTTGTTTTGAATACGGGGGTGATTCTAAAAATACCCGGTGTGACCTAGAGATAGCGGTAGTCGTTTGAAAAATATCAGTGCATTAGAAAGTACACAATCTATAAAGCATATAGTGCATTTCTTTAATGTCCCTCCCTTTTATCTTTTGAACGGGTCACCTCAAAAAAATTGAAATTTGGGAATGACATCTACAAACCTAGTTTGTGGTATTTTGACCGTCTTCATTTCTTAAACGACCAGGATTTTGCAAGACCAAGTAAGTCACATTTGACAAGACATCGTTACAATTTATCGTAACGTGTAAACAGTGCTCCATTCTTTCGATTTGTTGGAGCGATAAATCGTTCAATCAATTGTTACGATTTATCGTGGCGTGTAAAACTCCCTTTAGTTTTCGGTTTTACTAGTAGATAGCTACCATGTCAACAATCTCAAATATAGTCAATTCTCGTCCATTGGAAGAAAAAAATGAAGCGATTTTTCTGTACGTTCAGACGCCCAACTTTCACGAGACCGAATGGATTTTCAATGAACGTTTTCCGAATCGTCCTATCTGTAGAAAATATTTGAGGGAACGTGTATCCAAATTCACAACTACCATTAATGTACATAACAAAAAGCCCATTGGTCAAGCGTCCATTTCGGAAGAACCGCAAGGGCAAATAATTGGTGAGATGGTAGTATATCTTGAACAGTCTACTTATTCCGTTGCGAATGTTTGTGACGAGTCTCCTTCTACTGTGTGGAAACTTTTGAAGAACAGAATTCTGTGAAATCATGACGGAAACCATTGCAAGGTATCCTACCTATCTCTACAATATTTATTTTAGTGACGAATGTACATTTTTTTCAAACGTCAATGGTCACAGATGAAATTGCCGTTATTGGGGCGACACCAACACTCACGTTTTTAGGGAAACACATACCCAATATAAAGAAAAAATTAACATTTGGGCACGAATATTGGAAAACCATATTGTAGGAACTCTATTTATTGATCATAATTTAACAGGGGAACTGTATTTGAATATGCTGGAAACTACTGTTGACCCTCTCATCACTGAAATCGTCGAAGCGAATCCTAATGAATTCGATTTGAATATTATATTCCAACAAGATGGAGCACCACCACATTATTCCAGACAAGAAACTATTTGGATACAACTTTTCCCAATCGGTGGATTGACCTTCGAGGTCCTACAGAATGGCCAGCCCGCTCGCCAGATTTGACACTGGACTTTTTTCATGTGGCTATTTGAAGCAAATGGTATAAGAAACTAAACCTGCTTCAATAGTGGATATACGGGAGAGAATAATAAATATTTGTAGATATATTGACGTGACTGTGTTCTAAAATGTTCTGCATGAAATATCGGAAATATGTCAAGAAGTTCAATGTAACCATTTCGAGCATCTTCTGAACTGACCTCAAGCTCATTACTTTCAAGATGGCGCCCAGTCGCCATCTTGAAAGTTTCATCTGTCAATTTCACTTCGAAATAAAGTATTCATGCATTAATTTCATTATCCCAAATTTCGATTCTTTGAGTTGGCCCGTTCAAAAAATAAAAAGGGGGGGGGGGAACATTAAAGAAATATACTGTATAGTTTCTCTAAATACACAGTGGCTAGGTTATACGATTTTTATAAACGCAAATTGAAACTCGTTAACCCTAACTTACTCACAAGCTGATATGTTGTGAGACCAACAACCTCGATGAGACCATCCTCCGTGCTAGGTTCTATACCGCCCAGTGATCTATTCCACGGACGAGTGCCACCTCCATAACTAGAATTAAGACAATTATTATGATAAGAAACTGTTGGTTCACTAAGAAAATAGTGCATTTGTCAACAAAATGAAAATAAATCGATATGAAAATTAAAAATAATTATTTCACCAGATGGATGTAGATAGATGATTTCCCGTATTTTCGTTTCGCGAGCATTGGCGCCTTGTTCAAGTGGGTTAAAGTTATCACGGATGGAGTCAACTTGCACGCCTCCCCATCCACTTGCATCGGGATCGTCTTCGAGGTGATTATCTTCGCCGATCGGCACTGGGNACGCTTGACACCTATCAGAAAACAACTACTCCCCTGGCTAATACCACGAAGGGCGTTGGATTATATCCGACAGGTGTCAGTGCAGGATTTTTTACTGACGTTATTCCTGCATACGGTGTTGGCGCAGGAAAAACTTCAGCGAAGAATCCTGCACTGACACCTGTCGGATACGTACGAGGCCTTTTATATTTCGGGATTAGAGAACAAAAAAAATATTAATCATCAAAAATCACTTCATTGTTTTTCAAAATATTCCCGATGAAGATATATACACTTTTGCATGCGTTTCAACCAATTGTCGAAGCACTTTTGCCACTCTGATTGAGGTATCTCCAAAACATGCATTGTGAATGTAGTAATCGCTTCTTCAGGTGTCGAAACACGTTGACCTCTCAGTAAAAAGAAGTCATTCGGTGACAAGTCAGGACTATACGGCGGGTGCTCAAAAATGCAGTTGTTGAAGCCGATTTGTGAGAGCTCGCATTGTCGTAGTGAAGAGTGATCCTTCTTCGGCGGTAGGTTTTCCTGATTTCTGTTACTGTAAACAACATAAATAGCGCGCGTATGTCAAAACGTTCTGAGTACGTATAAGCTCAAAATGTCCAACTTTACGCTAGAGCTGTCAGTTGTCAGATTGCAACACTAGGGTTGCCAAATCCCGAAACATTAAGGAAACCTATCGTGTAATCCAACGCCCTTCGTGGTATTAGCCAGGGGTGTAGGTGTGTCAGTTCATTAACTTACAGAGTGGGAGTTGAGACTGGCCTGAACTAATTGTTTTTTTAGATGATTTGATTTATAGCCAGTCTTCAAGTATGCTCACTGACTATGTGTGTAAAGTTTTCTTTCGTTATACGAGAAACTGGGTAAATTTAGAATATGCTGTTGGTTACGTCGTTCACAGGCAGATGGAGCGATGACAAATTTGTTTGTTGTTCGCTTCAGCCTAGCTCGAGGAATGATGTTCTGAAGGAATTCGATTTTCAATTATCGGAAATCATCTGTTGATGATAGACACTACCTTGCACTGACGAGTGGCCAAACAGTCCGAAATCGGTCTGCAAGTGTGTTCCAATAATTGAAAATCTATTGAGGCAGTTGTATCGCCAATAGCATATGCAGGAATAACTTCAGTGAAGAATCCCGCACTGACACTTGTCGGATATAATCCAACGCCCTTCGTGGTTTTAGCCAGGAAAGTGGTATTTTTCTTATAGGTGTCAGTACATTAACCTACAGTGTAGGGAGTTGATACTGTATTGCACGAATTGTTCCTTTAGATGAATTGAAAATAAAATTTTGGTCGTTCTTTAGTGCGACTCTGTACAAGCAGCCTTGTCTGGAATATCACGTGCATTATGCATGGTGATGTTTTGGAGAACTTCGGTGCTTGAATGGACAGAGTTTGGTAACAGAAACATGAATGTATTTCATAATTATACAATTAGAACTCCCCAATCAAACATCCATCAACAGAACTGCAAATCTAATTTATTTCTTTTGTGATATAAAATGCTTCTTCATTTCTGTCTTGTTCCGAAGCTTCGAAGTGCACAATAATAGTTTTCAATGTAAGTGAAATTTCATATCGATATTTATTCATATATATGTTATAATTTTGCAATCTGGTTTCAGACCAAACTATAGCTGTGCTACAGCTTTATTGAATATATTAGATGATATCGTCGCAGCATCGGATAGAGACGAAATCACTGTCCTANCCTACTGTCGGATATACACTCCTATATTTCTCTTAGGTCAGTAGTGTTAGAATACTTGAGATTGGTGTAACAACCGATACCTTGGTCGTATTAAGACCACTCTATTTCAAGATATATTCTTTTAGTTTAGTTTTAGTTTGAATTTCGTGAAATTCACAATGTTTTTATAGCGTTAGGTATTTTATTCTATATATTCTTGACCAAATTTACTTTTGTGTGGTTGTGAAACTATATTATACATTTGCCATGTAATATGATCATTAAATGTTTTTTTATTATTCTTTACATTATAAATAAATATGCATATTTTGAAATGATATATTCCCCTAATTTCAAATAACTTTCTAGGTTCATACAGATTGCTGATCTTCTTTCTCTCTCTCTCATCCTCCATCCTCTCCTTTCCAGGAAGGTGGGCAGGTCTCTGGGAGACATCTCCGTTGCAACGGCAGATGTAGGCCAAGACTCGCCGAACACACACTCTCTCATTGGTGATAACTCCGGACATTTGCATAGGACATGCCTGACAGTTCCATCTTCCTGTTCACACATCCTGCATAGATGTGTGTCCACTATCCCCATATTGTGGAGGTGTTACCTCAGTTGACAGTGGCCAGTCAGAAATCATACTGTTGAGCGTAGATTTTTCCTGGTCATCGCCGGATATTTCTTCGGCGCCAGCTTCACAGGGTCGCCCAGGGTAATCCTGAGAAGATTGCAACCTTTTTGATTTCATCCCATCTCTTAAGGGAATGAATATGGGTGTGATGTTTGGCTGGTTTCGCAATTGTCAAAGTCACCAGGCCGTAGGTGCCACTGGGTTCTGAAAGTCTTAGTCTGATTCAGTTTATATTATATTATACAGGGTATTTCAAGATTTTTGTCCTGAAACACAGTCGAAATTTTATATTTATTCGTTTACATAACTTCGACATTTGAACAGGGCAAGCCCCATATATGCATGTGTGACTATGAACACAATCATATGAAGGAAAGTTGGGGCTACGTATAAGGACTCTTTCCTCAAAATACAGAATCCTGTAGCTGAGATGAGTGACACAAGTGGCTAACTTCTTCACAGGATTATACACCGTGAGTGTACGGCTGCGTAAAGCGTATTTATGTTGACTTAGGTAGTTTGGTGTACTAACACCTGTACCTGGAATAGGTAGATTGCGTAAAGCGTGTTCATATTGACACAGGTAGTTTGGTATGCTACCTGTACCTGTATTAGGTAAATTATCAATAACATTTGTCGACCCTTTTCTACCTGTAATCATACTGTTCTTTATTCTTCTTCTCAGAATCGGATTCCATATTCGGTTGAGGTTCACAGCTTATTCTATTCTGATGAAATTATTCGTATGTTTGTGGATCTCTATTGCCACTCGTACCAGTCGGCTATGGTATCCCTGGTCGGAGGCAATGCGTTCCGTGATTTCAAACAGAATCTTGTGGTTTCCTTCACCAAGTGCGTGCTCCGCCACAGCCGACTTGTCCGTTTGGCCTAGTCATGCTACTTCAATCTTGTTTCCATGGATATTCTGGTGGTTCCGATGTATACCTTCCCGCAAGTGCACGGTATGCGATAAACCCCTGTTGCTGATAGTGGCCCCCTTTTGTCTTTAGCCGATCTGAGACTCTGTTGTATCTTCTTGATGGGTTTGAAAACAGTTTTCATCTTGTGTTTCCCCAAGAGTTTTCCAATTCTGTTTGTCACCCTAGAGATATATGCATGGTAGTTACGCACATGTAACCATCTGAGCCTCCTCCCCATTTTGAACAATGGAAACCATTAAATTCATGTTCTTGATGATTTCGGGTACAATGTATTCATACCATTTATCTACGAAACTTCGACATACAACTGAGTGAGCTCCAAATTAGTATCTGCGATTATACATACAATTATATGTAGTACAGGTGGGGTTTCTAAAAAATACATTTTTCCCTGTAGATGATATAAAACTAACCTTTTAAAGATCACTTTGTATATTTTTAAGTAGACAGAGCAGAATTTTCATGTTCTCTGAAGTGAGTTTTTCAAAACATCAATAATCGGGAACAAATTTTATTATTTATTTGTACTTTCAAGTTGTACCTTATTCATTGTTATCTTAGTTATGGCCACCACTAGAGCTTGAAAATAAACATATACACAATGAACGTAGGTATAAGAAGTACCTATCCTTTTTTTTTAATATATTTGAATCTAATGACAATAAAATAATAATGACGAAAACGAAACCAAAATGCAATATCAACAAATTGATCATCATCTACATCTAATCTCATCCTTCCAAATGGGTAGGAAAGTGCGATCCATTTATAAGAAGCTATCTGGAACATACGTTTTCAGGTATAAGAATAAATACGGATTCTTTGAATTGATCGTATCTAATTGTCAATTATTCATGTCTTGTTCCATTCCACTCGATGTTCACTGTCTGATGTGACGAAATATATTCTGACAATTTTGAATCTGTTTTATTATCTACTTCTGATGTTATCTTGATATTCATTCTCACGGATTTCTGAAGGTCTAGAAGTTTCAGCAGTATAATTTTCCACCACAAGAAGAAACTACTTCACAAATACAATTTTTATTCTGTATGGGTTTTGTATGTGTGATAGGTCTTACTGTATGTCTTCAATTGAATTATGTTTTCAAATTGTGGAAAGTTATGAGACTGGAAAAATGTTTAGAATAAACAGGAAACATTTAAATAAGGATCGGTTTGAATAAGAATCAGTTTATTTGTTTTTTCGATAAGCTGTCTTTGCTATATGATTGTGAATTTCATAATAAAGACACTCGTCATTCTCGTCACTCGTGATTCAAACCGTCTGCATTTAACGAATTTCGATCTCAATTTCGATAACAAAACATGTGAATCCAATTGAAATGAGCTTGAAAAATCATCTGGAAATGGATTTGTACTATTGACATCAAATAAGAAGAGAAAGCTCAGAAGGCCTATCTATTTCAAAGATTTTGTTACTAACATAGGTTCAGGTGATAATTAATTAGTTGATAGTGAAATTTGCATTTTGTTTTCAAATTGACCAATTTTTAATGTTGTAATCAGTAAACGGGCTCAGAGATTCATACAAAGACGCCATTTTTGACTTCTCCAAATGTCAAATGATTTCCTTTTTACACTTTTCTTGAATTATGGGCTGATATTCTCACAGACGAGTAACTTCTTCTGATACCTTGTTATGAGCCTTTGAAAACAGCAATAAGCAGGAACAAACTTTATCATCTATTAGTTTCATAATTTTGTACTTTCAAGTTGTAGGTACCTTCTTTTTATATTATCCATAACACCACCATAGCTTACTATTCATGCAGGGTGATAAATATAGATATAACATCAGGAATCAGTTGATAATTTCGAGGCTTTTGATCATGACTCACACAAGACAGGCACGTCTTGTCTGATCGTTTTTCATTTGTAGCCCTCCAGTTTCCACTGAAGACGTTGTATGTAAGTAGTCATCGCTGATTTTTCCTCGAATTACTTCTGATAAGCTAACTGTTTTCACAAACATCATGAAGGTACGGCAATGGGTAATCCGCTGTCTTGAAATCGAAGAAAGAGTACTTTTCACGGACTTAGATCCGATACGTGGATGATGCATTTGCCATTTTCGACACAAATAGAAGTGAAGTAGAAGATTTTGTGTGTTGTCTCAACAACAATTTACCAAATATCAAGTTCCTATATGCATATGAAAATAATGAAGGTCTACCATTCCTGGAGGCTGTTGTTATGAGTAATGTCGATGAGAGCTCCCACCATTGTCCGCAACAGAAATTAATGGACTATTCGACTACTCAAAATTCTTCAATATTGATTAAAATACACCAAAGGATTGGTTCGAATTTTAGAAAAATTGAACATGAAATTGTCTTTCAGAACTGCTCGTACGCTCATCAAATGTTGGGTAGCCCAAAAGAAGACAAGACAGCGGAAAAAAATCTGTGAAACTTGCGACAAAAAATATATTGGTCAAACCAAGCGGAGTATAATAGCTTGATATAAAGAACATGTTTCACATATTCGATTTATAGATAAGATACGCTCGAAGTTGCTCAACATGCCTTAGAGAAAAGCCACATAACAGAATAGCGACAGCCACAGAAATAAAACGCTGAAAATTGTCAGGCATAGATTATATGTAATTGTTGTAATGTAAGAGCTCTAAGCGAGTTGTAGGATTTAGTCTTAAGTCACGTTCTGATTTCATTTCATTCAATTCCATTGCACTCGATTCCGTTAGACTCCGCTATGCTCCGTTTCATTTCCTTTCGTTTCCGTTCCATCCCGTTACGTTTCATTTCCTTCCGTTCAGTTCCCTTCTGTTCCGTACGTTACGTTTCATTCCGTTCCCTTCCGTTCCGTTTCGTTTCGTTTCGTTTCGTTTCGTTCGTTTCCGTTCCATCCCGTTACGTTTCATTCCCTTCCGTTCAGTTCCCTTCCGTTCCGTACGTTACGTTTCATTCCGTTCCCTTCCGTTCCGTTTCGTTTCGTTTCGTTTCGTTTCGTTTCGTTTCGTTTCGTTTCGTTCCGTTCCGTTCCGTTACGTTTCATTCCCTTCCGTTCAGTTCCCTTCTGTTCCGTTCGTTACGTTCCATTCCGTTTCTTTTCGTTTCGTTCCGTTTCGTTCCAATCCATTCCGTTTCATTTTGTTCCGTTTCGTCGCATTCCGTTCCATTTTGTTTTTTCATTTCATTTTATTTCCCCATATAGACTGGGAGCCTAAATACATGGAAATTATTCTTTTCAACTGTTTATGTGACCTCACGTATTATATGTACCTACACGTCAAGATTCATATAATACCTAAACATTTCACCATATCTTGGTAACATACAAAATGTGAATTATGTGATAATATAAGATTGTAATGTTTTTTTTTTCATGACTAGGTTCAATAGTTAATCATTAGGATTGTTCATTTCATAATTAAATGCACTAGAAGGGACCGAGTCGATAATAGTGTTATTTCCATTTTGGTGTATGAGATGACTAATTTACCCAAATGAAAAATTGATGTTCAGTTGATGGGAATTTGATGTTTCAATGAAAACCACAATACTCGTGATGGAATTCACCTGAAAGGTATCAAATTTCCGGCGTCAATATCAAAAATAATTAGAGCCTCCCTTCTCGTGGGGGTTTCTGTTTTCGGCGAACAAATTGGGCTATTCGTTTTGCGATTTTTTGTTAATAAAAGCCTCTTTTATTATTCACACGCCTAATCGAGCTCCGTCGAAGCGAACGCTATATTTTAACGAATTTCAGTCGTCAGCTCATTGCTGTGGCGAAAATATCTCCCGTGAGTCGACTACCGGAAGGAGAGATATCAAGGGACGGCTTGCCTCTATCCGGTTGGAAGTAACACGTCCAGGGGCAGGACCTTTACGATAGGATACTAAAGAGCGGTAGTAACTCCCAAGGAAACGAGTTAGGAAACATATTGAGCTTGTGATAAATGGAAAAGAGGTTGTACAGTATTGATGCTCCTTGCGGGGATCTACAAAATTCTACTTTTCGAAAAACATATCATTTACTTCGTTTAAAACCAAATTTCTTAAATTCTCAATAATCGGAACATCTGAATCCTCGGAACTGATACTTATTACCCACACTATATAACACATGGGATGGGGCGGGGTGTCAAGAACACACCTTGATGCATTGGAAGTATCCCAAAGAAGATTCTTGAAAATCATCCTGAATAAAAATAGTAGATACTCCAGTGATCAAGTATATAAAGAGACAAAAACGTTTGATCTGACACAAATATACTTTGAACAGCTGAATATTGCAGCATTCCAAAAAAAATTGACCTTCTCAATCTGGATCATACGTATCTCACCAGAGGAAGAAACAAATTTGTCCAACCGATAATGAGCAAGTCAGTAGGCTAGAAAAGTCATCAATTTTTGGGTCCAAGGGCTTTCAACACTCTTCCTGATGAAATAAAAATTCAACAATCGATATCAAAATTCAAAAGAGAGTTGAAAACATATGTATATCAGAGGAACCGGAAAGCGATCCACCAAATAATTGAAAAAATTGAAAAATAACATCTTACAGCAAAATTAGTACACAAATATATAGAATATTTTCTATGTACCCCGGTTTCATTCGTTCTGTTCGACTGTTGATTCTTTTGTAAAAGTTTCAGTTTGGATCTAATTACACCTTCTCCATCAAATTTGATTATTAAAAACAGATTAATAGATATTTCAATACATTTTATTTCATGATTGAGATATTTCAATGTCATTGTGAAAATGTAATATTTCAATTATTATTATTATTTATGTGTTATTTATAATGTTATTATCTGTCATATTTATGTTATCACGCACACGTCACTTCTATGACTTTTGTGATATTGTCTGTTTGTTCAACTAAATTCTCTATCAAATGTATATAATGATATATCTGTGAATAAACATTATTATTATTTTTTTTTTTCACCGTAGTGTGCGCTGGTCAGGTCCTATCCCCCGAAGCCCCGATACATTCGGGAGGGCGCGCCAGCATAATCAACCAATGACCACTCCCCACACCGTGGGGTAAGTGATCATTGGATCCGAGAATCATGTGCCCTGAGCAAACGCAGTGAGCCAAGAATGACAGCCTTCTGCATCTGTGCGGCTAAGATTTCTGCCTTAGTGCGGCAAGCCGGTATGATTTTGAGATTCGAGAGTAGAAAAGACATCATTCCACCAAGGACTCCAATAATAATAATTATTATTATTATTATTATCATTATTATTATAACACTTAACAGTTAACACACAACACACATCAAATGTCAGACACAATGAGTGTGTCGTGTGTTTTGTGAGTTGTGTGTTATTTGAGTTGGGTGTGTAGAATATGTCGACATTTACTTTGACAAGAAACTTGATTGGAATTAGATATTCTATGTTAAACATAACACATGGCACCGAAATAAACTTCGCGGTAAAGGTCTCTAACCACGAAGAAAGGAGAATAATCAGTCAACATGAGAACAATCTCGACAGGAACACCTGGTATACAAACGGGTCGTAAAGCGAACATGGAACGGGAGCTGGAATGTACTGCGCGGAAAGAAATCTTCATTACAGTTACCCACTCGGTCACTATACATCGGTCTTCCTGGCTGAGATGTATGCAGTGCGCAAGAAACATTAGTTTAATGCCTCAATGAAATGAGCGGATTAATATTCTCACAGAGAGCTAGGCTGCAATTGGGGCACTAACGAACCCAAAAGTGATATAAAGGCTTGTCTGGGAATGCCGTGAAGAACTGAAGAAACTGATGGACATGCATATATTGACTATATGCTAGGTGCCAGGAAACTCAGGTATCGCAGGAAATGAAAAAGCTGATGAGTGTGCCAGACACAGATCCGCACCAAATACTCTGGTGGTACCAGAGTATTTGGTGCGGAACCAGATCGGAAAGAGGGTCTATAAGAAACATGAAGAGTACTGGAAGAATATACCAGGGAACAAACATTGGAAAACCTTTTGAAGGAACCGTTCGAGAAGAGAGCTGAAGAACTGTTCCAACAAAGCAGGGGTCGGCTCAGAACATTCATAGAGCTACTCACAGAACACTTTCCATTCAGAGGACACCTAAACAAAACAAACAAAAACAAAACAAAAACAGCGGAGACCTCAACTGCAGGAAATACAATATAGGGACAAAAACAACTCGTTATTTAGTCACTGAATTACAAAAATTACTGGGGGCAAACAATTCATGGCCAGCGCAAATTATGTCCAGAAGCATATGATATAGAGGACACAACATTGTTGGAATGGGTGTTATGAAAGAGATGGGAGTAAAACGCGATAGTTATACGTGGCTGCCCTTTACGAGAAGAGATTATGAAGGGGAAACGCGAAAAAATGTTCAAACTCATTTTGTTTTTGCAGGTCGTTCATTTTCTTGGGGGGTGGTGAGAGAAATTGTCAAGAACTAGTTTGCAGAACAACATTATGTTTTTGGAAGTTCTAGGGGCATCGCAGGTTTGTTGTAACAGATGTATCGAATTGAACACATTGTTGAATACTTAAACACCTGATCATTCAAATTTTGGTAGCCTCTATAGTAGACTGAGGATTTTAAAATAACTTTGTGGAGAAAGTTTTCATTTGTGGAACTGAGATGGGTTTTTCTTACAGACCCGCTACTGAACTCACCTCTAGCCTCATGGAATTCCAAAGCGATATGAGCGTCTACTCCTAACGAATAATAGTTATTCATGACATTGAGCGGAAGATTCTCCTTCCCTCCTTCGTTAGAGGCGGCATTATTATTCTTCTCCACTTCCAAGGACCATCTGTCGAGGTACACGACGTCGCTGTGGCTGATGTTCGACAGAATCTTTGAGATAGGTTCGTCGGTGTAGCCCTGAAAATCATTCGGAGTTATTTATTTTGTTTCGATAGACATTCAAAGTGAGCTCCTTGTGCAGAAAATCAATTGTTTGAAAGTCAATGGGGAATTTTATGATAAATATGAATCTGGGTGAACATTTTTATCTGTATACGTGAAAAAAACGTTTATTTATCGTTTTGAAAACAGCACAGTTTTCGGTGTTGTTTGAACAAAAAATAAATTGAATCATACGTTCATCTAGGAAAGCACACAGAAAATGTAAAGAAAATTTTGAGTTTGGTTAGTAGCGCTACGTAAATATAATGAAAAATATAAATAGATATTCAATCAAGATATCTCACAGTGTCAAATCTTGCAGATGTTAATCGTTCATTCGAATTTTGACATTATTGAATGAAACAGATTTGCAGCTCAAAATATCTGATTTTGACTTTTGATCGATGAATAAGATGATCATCATTTACATTGTTCAAAGTCTGATGGTATCGCTAATAATACCCTAAATTCCTCAAACGTTCTGACTTTTCAACAATTTGTCAATCGGTACCAAATTCTCTGAAAATTGAAATCGCTTCCTGTTGAAATTACTTCAATCCAAATTATTCCCTGTTTGATTGAGTCATTCGATAGATCACCAAATACGTGCCTTGGTGTTTGGTATAACCACCCAGCTTTTCGTCGTTTGTAGTATGAGCCCTCTACTTTCTCCCTAGCCACTCATTCTACGAGTCACTGACAATTTGTAGGTGTTCACGAGTTTTTGCTCAATCGCTGGCTTCCTCAACGGTCTCTTGGGAGTCCAAAGGTCGCGATATGTGCACCACTCTTACACATCACGGCGATAGTTGCCTCAATAGTCCCTCTGTCTACTACTGAGTCCGGAACCTTTTGATAACTGCACTTGATGTCTCTGCCAAACAGTTATTTTCAGCAAGCTTCCAATCATTTACACAACATAACATTCCTTCTTCTTGTTTTTATTCTGTTAATAGTCTGTCCATGGGTCTGATCCCGAAGAATTTGATATACAGTTGTGGCAGATACTGATAACCGAACTTTGTCTTCGTAGGGTGTGATAAGTCTTTCATCATCTCAGAGAATTTACCGTCAAACTCATTATTAAACGTATATTTCCTTCTGCCTAAATATCTGTCGACATTATCAATTTGTTCTGGCTAGCCTCGAAACGTGGTGTTGCTTCTCAATGGACTGTTCTACCTTGTTTCAGAAGCATACTGCTCCATTTCTCCAATTGGAGTAGCTCTTCTTTAAATATGGCAAGATCTCAATCATTTCCAACAGTCCAATAAGGGTTTCTTCTATAACGTTGCTTTCTCAGAAAAGGTCACCCTCCCAACTTCAGTACTAATATCAAAACAGAGATTCTTCAAACATGACAACCTGGCTCAATACTTGCTGCCTGTACTCCAATCTGCTGTAGAAATTATGTTAAAGTTTGGGGACAGGTCATACTCCTGCGAAGCCCTCTGGCTTACAGAAACAGGCTTGTCTGGCTATCAGTGGTGCCATCAATACCTCACCATTAGCGGCCATGTAGATCCTTCTAGATCTACCTCCTCCCCACATTGTTCTGGAGAGAGAGGCTGGCTGGACTGCATATAGACTTGTGTACATTGCCAAGTGCACAAATCAATTTAATGCAGAGTGCAACAGACTGTTGGTTGACACTGGAAGTCACAGCTTTCTGGAAATGACCTCTGACTTTATGCCTCTAACTGTCAACTACGAACTGCCGTATAAAGTACTGTTCCCGAGCAGAGAGGCCTGGATCCTGCGGGAGAAGGAAATATCAAGAGAGAATAGTTGTTGGTTCACAGATGGATCAAAAACACCTTTCGGTTCGGCAATTGGTAGCAAATTGCCAAAAACGACTCTTCTCGATAGGAAGACTCAAAGATTGTCTCTGTTCTGGCCATACTGGCCTGGCGGGCAATCAGGCTGCTGACTTCCTTGCAAAGGAGGGTGCTGCAATCAGCTTCATCGGACCAGAACCTGTCATTGGCATCGCTGAAGGCTTCGCCAAACAAAGATTGAACACCTGGATGGCAAAAAGATTTATGGACTTCTGGCAAAATCTTCCAGCATTGGCTCACTTTGAGGCGTTTATTCACCCTTCGAAGTTTGATACCAAACAGTTGTTGGCTTACAGTAGGGATGAACTACGATGTCTAACAGGCCTTTTTACAGGTCACTGTCATTTGAATCATCATATGTAGAGACTCGGACTGTCGGAAGACAGTGTGTGCCGCCGTTGTTTGGAAAATGATGAAACAGCAGAGCACATAATTTGTGCCTGCCCTGCTGGGGACTGAATCTGGTTTTTAGAGTTCGACAGAGCCGTACTCTTACCATCTGACCTGAAAGACCACTCACCATACAAACTAATCGTCTTCGTTAAGAAGCTGGGTTTATTTGGTCGAGTGTGAATAGGTGTGAGCCACAATAAACCCTTGCGGGTTGCGTTGGAGGGTCGAATAGACTCACTCACTTTGGACCAAACCAAACCTAACCATACTCCTGTGAAATATCTAGCGACTGTTGATGCTTGCTCCACAGTTGGCTCTGATATTCTCACTCTTAGCATTGTTGCCAGTATTAAATTTCCAGAAGCTTTTGAGATATGCCATTTAAGTTTCTCTGCGAAATATTCTGACTGCACAGTTTTGAACCGAAAAAATCACCAATACAATGTCCATCCGTACCTCAAAAATGCTAAACATGTGATAAATGGAAACTTACCCCACCCCAGCCTAAAGCTCTGGCCAGATCATTTCCGGTCCCCAAAGGAAGCACTCCAACAGCTGGTGCCGGTGAAATCCCGATCTGATCAATGACGCTGAGTACCCATCCGACAGTTCCATCACCCCCGCACGCTAAAATCCTCAAGTTAGGCACTTTCTTGAATAATTCCAATCCCATTTTTGGTCCTCCTTGCGTCAAATCGAATACCTGCCTCGGATTGAGCAACCATTGGAATTTTTGGAGCAACTTGAGACCTTGATTGCCTCCAGATTTCGGATTGATGAAAACTATGACGGGAGAAACGTTTGTTGAGGGGATGGGTTTTATTGCAAAATATCGATGTTCTTTGTCCTGGAAAGAAAAATAAAAAACTGATATGTTTGCAAGGAAAATGAAAAAAATACATAATTTGTGTATCATTTGTATCGATTTTCTTTTTCCCAAATATAACAGCGTACAACCATTCATAAGGAGAAAAGAGAAGAGGAGACAGTGATGGAAAAACTGGAAAAGATACCTTAGCCATGGAAAGAAAAAGAAACTCTCTTGAAAAACCTGAAACACTTGAATAAAATGAACTTCATGTTGATAATCAATTCTTCCTCACGGAAAACCTTGAGAACCTGTTTTAGATCTAGAATTACAATTTGCATTTCGTGAAGAGTAATCCACCAATCTCAATTTGAGAATGAATCACTGTATTTACTAGATACCTGTTGTATGAAAATTCATTGAAATTTAATAAATTGATGGATGTAGCCGTTACTACGTGGTAGGAAATCATAATAAAGAAAAGAGAATTGAAACTTTCTGTGTTTTTAACCACTTTTATTTGTAACTAACGTTACTGCAGTTTCATCCTATAAGAACATTTTCAGACTCATACATTAATTCAATAAAAAAATGTTAATTTTGTTTGCTTCAGAAGAGCATGTCCATGAAAACTTGTAATGTTGGTCAAAGGCTGGAGAGGTTGACTATCTGGAAGTGATACATCGAAGACTGACCAACATTTGAACTGAATAAAAGAAAGCGGAGGTAGTGAGTGCAAATACACATCTAGAGAAAAACATGGTGCTGAAGGTGGAAATGATGTATTGACTATACATAAAGGTTTTCTAAGATAACCTGTGCATCATTGGTGACGGTTTGGTGGCTACAGATGGAACTAGCATCTTTTTTGAAAAACCAGACAAGAAATGACATACTTGTTCGGGAATAACGGGAGTAATGAAAACGACACCAACAGTACTTTTGAAGACAATCTTGAATCCACCTCCCTCATATCTTGTTATAACGGGTGAGGCAATAATGGGCCATTTAAGACTGAACAATTTGGCGAAATGCAAGAGTTAAAGCAAATTGAAAAAATTCTGGAATGTGGCGGTCACTTAACACAAGCACACTAGCTACACAAACTTCGTTAAGAGGAGACCTGAATAAAAGAGAACTGAATAACGGCGATTTCAGCTGCAGACAATGCAACAAAGAGATAGAGATAGCTCGTCATATTTTATGTGAATAAGAAAGGTGAAGAATATTTTGAAATAATATGACAAAAATACAACAAAGGTACAGGGAACAATGGGAAGGAATGGAATGATTCTGCTAAAAAGAAGGTATGTTTTTCGAAAATGTCCATTTTCAGTTGGATTATACACCCCAGGGGAGTAGTTGTTTTCTGATAGGCGTCAGTCCATTAAACCTATTGTGTAGGTATATAGAGACTGGCTTGAACCTTTGAAGTTCCATCTGTTTTAGGTAACTTTTTTCTATCAATGATTTCTTGTTTCTATGAAAACATTTGCAAATTACTTTTTCACGTAGAAGTCAGTAGTGTAAAAACTTATTTTTTCAAACGAGGTATCAATAGTTAATAATAAAAAACTATTTTTTTTCAATGAGACACCGTGTATATTCTTGTATATTTCAAGAGACTTGTGATTCACTGTTTGGAACCTTTAGTGTAGTAATGAATATTACTGGAGTTTTTTCCCAACACCAAACCGTTATTTTAATACCTCGACACGTGTTTCGATCACCAAGTGATCATCTTCAAGAGGAAAATTCAAAAGAATCTTCCTCTTGAAGATAAGAGTCCAAAGCCTACTTTGATCAAATAGGCTTTGGACGATGTAGCGGTAAAACAGAATGCAAATCTTCACTTGTAGCTGTCACATTTTAATTTAGGCAGTACGGACGCTCTTTAATTAGTTGCTTTTGTTCAATTTCGAAACATATTTACAATGAAGTATGGGAATAATGAATTATGATAATATGTTTTATAAAAACCGAGGAAAACACAGAAGCAGTAAGAGAAGGGAACCTTCTAGAGACATTTTCGCAAGATTGCAATAAGTACAACCGAATTGACGATAATCAATTTGAAAAAAAAGGCTAACATTATATGAGAGAAATAGGGATAAGGAGTTAAAAGAAATAGCAACATATTTTTGAGTTTTTCAATGCTCTGTTATATGTTATTTGAAGGGGTTTCGCTAACACTTAAGTACAATCTTTTACAAAAAGCTAGGGATATTATTGTAGCCACAGGTGTGTTTGGACTTGAGTTTTTTCAGAGCAATCTGAACGTCGTCTTCACTTTGTTTCCCAAGTGATGTAGTTGGTAATCAATTTTGGGGTAGTATAAACACTGCTAAAATAATCTGCAACCATTAATATTATTGTTATGAAGCGGTTACTTCTGCTTCCTTTGAGTTCTCGTTACCGATCTAATATTTTACGATTCTGAATAATATTTCCCTGCTTTGTTTGATGTCATCACGGAATTATCATCACTGGTAATTGAATGCAAATTGTTTTGAATAATTCTACGCAATTCATATCATTGAACGAAATAGTACTAATCAGATGAAAATAAATAAATGAATCCCTCAAAGCGGTTCGAAATGGAAAACGTTATTGAAACGAATGTCATTATTAGAATTATCGATTGTAGGATGATCGTTAATACTCGAGTATGAATGTGAGCCGAAATAATTTAAAAGCATGTACGAGCAACTTTTCATTACACCGATTTCTTGGAACATTTGAATTCCTTGATTCCTTGAAAATGTAAGTGCTTGTCTAATCCCAGGAAGGATAATAGGCAATTAATGTAGCTTTTTCCGGCCATTATTCAAAGAATTTCATTTCTGGAGCTTTTGAGGATTATTTATCATCTGTTCTTTGAAGACCAATTAATTTTATAGGGCTTAGGGCTGACGGAATGTTTGGTTTTCAGAATAGAAAATTGTAGCATTTGGAGTTTCATTAGGGAATATTTCTTACGTAGATTGAAATGATGTTTCGATCAGCAAAAAAAGGTTGAATGAATTCAGATACCCAAGAAGAAAAATCATGTGGGAAAGTGCAATGATGCAAAATCAACAAATAGGCATATTTCATGAGTTCTGCCCACTATTCCAACAAACTGCTTAATCTTTCTTTGAAAAAATGTTGGGAGTGGCTGTATAGAAGAAAGATTCAATTGCTCAGCTTTCTTGAAGAGCCAGAAACGGAAAACACCTTCAGAAAAATCAATATTTACGTACACATAGATAAAATCAAACATACTTTGTGTATGAACTCTAGATAATCAGTCACTAAGCGATTCAGAGATGATTCAGTCATCCACAACTTGTGCTAATTTCCACTTCCAATCCTTCATCGGCTACAAGAAAAATCTTCATTTTTTTCTAAACAATTCAAGATACTTTGTTGACCTACTCAAGGTAATCGAAGATGCAGAATGAAATCAAATAATTAGTCTCGATGCAGAAGCCTGATCGCCTATGTTCCTGTCGAGAAATCACTCCAGATTCTATAGAGGAAACTATCCCAAAACGAACATCTGAGAGGTATAACGAGGTTACTAATGGAAATAATGATGCCATTCACCAGTTGCGTAACGTTCGAATTTGTTGCCCCAGTTCCTTTCATTGTATGGAATCATGGATGCATGAGACTGGTCACCTTGTTGCACCACCTCGAAAACAGTCGTTTCAAAACGTTTGTGAAGGACGTACCGGTAGGGGACCCACTTTCAATGTGGAACTTCAGTTTACTGAAAACTGACTCACATGGAACAGCATTTGAATCACGAATCTTACCACCACCAATTCGTCGAAAGAGAAATCGTCAAGACGTTAAAGAGGGTGCTGCAAGCAGCTTCATCGGGCCAGAACCTGTCATTGGCATCGCTTTAGGCTTTGCCAAATAGAGATTGAATACCCGGATGGCAAGAAGATTATTCACCCTTCGAAGCTTGATACCGAAATGTTGTTGGACTACAGTAGGGATGAACTACGATATTAACAGGCCTTCTTACAGGTAGGTAACTGTCATTTGAATCATCATATACAGAGATTCGAACTGTCAGAAGACAATGTGTGTCGCTTCTGTTTGGAAAATGATGAAACAGCAGAGTACATATCGAAACATGTTTTTAGAGTTCGGCAGAGCCGCACTCTTATGATCTGACCTGGAAGACCACTCACCATATGAACTTATCGACTTCGTTAAGAAGCTGGTTTTATTTGGCCGAGTGTGAATAGGTGTGAGCCACAATAAAGCACTGCGGGTTGCGATGGAGGGTCGAATAGACCCACTCACTTTGTATCTAACCAAACCTAACCCAACCTAACTCTAATTTATCGGATACGTGGCAAGTCTCATATCTGTGACACCACAATACTGTTGAAAGTCCATAATGGCAAACACAAGAAAAACATCTAGTGAGAATCTCAACAAGACGAGAGAAGAAAAGAAGAAATAGGAATAGGCCAGCTATCACCAAAAAACGATTATAGATACCAACAATGGAAACGTCTTGTTAAATGGTTGAAACATACATATACATAAAACATGCTAAGTTAAAAATGATCGGTACAGAACTCAGTTGAACTGTAATAGGGTCTACTACTCAAAATTTCTTTAATCATTTTTCTGTACTGATTGGTATCAATATTCATGTTTCTAGTGTAACTCGGCAGATGGTTATACATCTTCACACCATTGTGAAATAAGGAGTCCTTGACCAGAGAGTTGCAAGGAATAGGTAATTTTAAATTTTTTTGCACGCTTTGACGAGTTGTATAGTGATGGGTGGTAACCTCAAGTTTCACAAGATGTTTCTTAATTGAACACACTGTCTCCAGAATAAAAAGAGCTACAACCGTCAATTTTTTTTATCTATAAACAGTTGCATGCATGAACCACGAGGTTTAGCTTTGCACAAGTATTGTATAGCTCTCTTCTGTGATACAAATACAGACTCCAGAAAATTATGGCTACACACACCCCAAAAAGGTATACCGTACCTTAAGTGAGACTCTACCAAAGCGTGATACGCTGTTTTTGCAGTATAAACTCCCAGTTCTCTAGCAATAACTCTCACTGCATAACAGCCGGTAGAAATTGTATTTATCATTTTTCTGATCTGAGCGTCAAATTTCAGTCCACCGTCTATATACAGCCCCAGAAATTTAGTACACTCTCTGTTCTAAATGATACCGCTCGCTACAGATAAATTCTGAAGTGAACATTTGAAAGTCATAATACATGTTTTCGAAATATTAAGGGAGAGTAGATTGGAATCACACCAAGACTTGATTTTTTGTATATCATGAGCTATTGTCTCATTGAGTATATCTATACCTTTACTATGCCACAATATAGTGGTGTCGTCAACGAAAAGAGTGAATGTTCCAGGTATACTTATGTTCAAATCGTTAATATACAACAGGAACAATATGGGACCGAGAACCGATTCCTGTGGTACACCAGTATTTATTTCAATACTGTTTGAACATTCAATCGTTTTCACAATCTGACTGCGTCCATTGAGATACCACTCAAACCACCGTAGTGTTATCCTTCTACATCCATAGATATTCAGCTTTCGTAGCAGTATTTTATAATCAACGCAGTCAAACGCTTTTGTAAGGTCACAAAATACTGCTGCAGTAGCATCTCCATCATTCATATTGGAATACACCTCAAACAGGAAAGAGAATATTGCATCATGTGTGTCTTGTTGCTCTGGAATCCAAATTGATTTTTCCTTATAATGTTATGGCGAAGGAGGAATTCATTGGGTCTTTTCTTAACTAGTTTTACAATTATTTTTGCAATAGTAGGAATGAGAGATATTGGTCGATAATTTGAAGGATCATCCAACCATTATATAACGGAATCACTATCGACAATTTTAGAAATGATGGAAACCTGCCATTTGTGAATGAAAGATTGATTAGTGATACGAGAGTTCTGAGCGGTTCTATCGGAAGAGTTTCAATAATTTTGATTGAAATTTCATCATAACTAGATGTTGATTTATTCCTTATATCACCAAAAATTCCAAACAGTTCATCAATATTCGTATCATCCAATTGAAGAGATTCATCGATTGCAACATTTTCTAAATTAATCAGTGGGTCATATGGTACCACAATATTCTGACTGAGCCTCTGTCCAATCGAACAGTAGAATTCATTTATATCGTCCACACTGATTGGTATTTCAATATATCTGCTCTATTTGGTACTATTTCTCAAATCATTCATGATAGACCAACTTTCTTTCATTTCATTGTGTGAGTTATCAATTCTTCAGCAAGTCTAATGGTATTCCTATAAATTCTCCGATAATTATTAAAATATAAATGAAAGTAAGAATTATCAGTGAATTTCCGCAGATGGTGTAAAGAGCGAAAATTTCTTGATGAAATTTTAATTCCTTGCGTCATCCAAGGCTTTTTATTTTTTGTTTTCATTCATCATTTCTTTTCATTCCTTCAGTTTTTTCATTTGTATTATTCATACTGTATATTAATTATTTTTCAACTCATTTATCAACTCATTTTCATTTCAAGTCACATACATTTTATTTAATTTTTTTCCAATTACCGTTCTTATATCTTGAAATTCCATATTCATTATCCATTTCTTTTGATCTTCCTTCGGTCCTAGTATTTTTTATAGTTTTTTTCTTTCACAGATTTAAAATCTGTCAACACAATGAAAGTCCTAACCTGTAACATTCACCAAGAAATATTGTCAACCACATTCAACAAAATCCATTCCTACTTGAAGACCTACCTACAATGATGAGAAAGAGCTTCCTGAAATTAATTGGAAATCTTGGTCATAAAGAATAACGATATGAAGGCCAGTCGATGCTTTTGATATGTAAAATGTAGAATTTGGAATCTGAGATCTTGCAATGAGATATCTACAGGAGCAAAAAACCACACTCTCATTTGACGATGAATGTTTTGAGAGAAAGATGAAATATATTCATATTTTATCATAATGACTTTGTTTTCGCATTCTAAATCCTATAGTTTTTGTCATAACAGCGCTTTTGCTGATTCAGTAGCCAGAATATAGATGCCAGTAACTTTATTCCTGCACCATTAATTTTAAATAGTTTCTCAAGAAATGCTGTACCAGCCGACTCTCAGAAGTGAGTTATTTTCTATCTAACGGAGGATTTTCCACTATAAAACTTTAGCGTCATGTGACTAAATTCCCGTAATCCCCTTCTCGATTTCCAATTGTTTCCGGCCAACATTCCAATCTGGAATACTAACTGGAGAGAAATAGTTGCAAACTATTGAAAGAGCCCAGTTCAGACAATGATAACACATTGAATATAAATTCAGTTAGAATTTCTCGGTTCTCAATACAAATGAGACTGCACAGAGGTGCAGACGACTCAGTTGCTTGGTTGTTACGCATGAAGTCCGCAACACACGGAAGTTTTCGTATCGAAATATAATCAAAATTTGACTTCACGGTTAGTTTATGTTGGGAACTGAGTAAAAACAGTCTCGTTTCACTTATCGTTTCACTTTAAATAAACAGATTTCAGAGAGTTTCGAAAAATGCCAGAAAGAAGTGGCTCAGTTTCCTATTTTATATACCTTTTCTTCAAATTTGAACTCTTCACTGTCACTGAGCTTTTTCCCAGCTGCTGAATTTTGTGAATCTTCTCAAGCGATTTGAATGAATCAAAATAAAAAATTCATAATATTGATGAATACAAGTGTTCAATATTCTATCCCATATTGGCTTGTTACCAGAAAAAAAAATTAATTTTCTCAGTCATCTGTGAAACCGATTCGGACTTTTTCCAAATATGGATAGCATTATTGAGTCGAAGCACCCAATTCACTGATGAAATTACGACTGTATTTGTATTACGACCTCAATGGTGAGGTCATTCCATTTGCAACGGAGGTGAAATATCTTGGCATTGCCCTTGATCAAAAACTTACCTGAAACGCTCACTTGATAAAAGTTTTACACAAAGCCAGAATGTCCCTATGGATATGTCGAAGGATTTGTGGTGAAACTTGGGGTTCCGGTCTCAAACAAATCCATTAGATTCATGTAATGATTGCCAGACCAATGATCACTTATGGTGCAATTGTCAGATGACTTTACAGAAAACGGCCCAGGCGAAGCTCACAATGACAAGCTTGTCTGGCCATCAGTGGTGCCATCAGTACCACACCATCAGCGGCCATGGAGATCCTTCTAGATCTACCTCCTCTCCACATTTTTCTGGAGATAGAGGCTAGATGGACTGCATATAGACTCGTTCACATTGCCAATTGCACAAATCAATTTAATGCAGAGTGCAACAGACTGTTGGTTGACACTGGAAGTCACAGCATTCTGGAAATGACCTCTGACTTTATGCCTCTAACTGTCAACTACTAACTGCCGTAAAAAGTACTGTTCCCGAGTAGATAGGACTAGATCCTGCGGGAGAGGTAATATTAAGAGCAGATAGTTGTTGCTTCACAGATGGATCGAAAACACCTTTCGATTCTGGTGCGGGAGTTTTCAGTCGCAGACTCAGAACTATGCGACTCTATTTCAACCGAACATTTACACTATTCAATTGTGTGCGGAAAGATTGAAAGAATCTAACGTCATACACAAGTCAATTAAACTATTCTCGACCAGTCAAGCGGCGTTGGAAGCTCTTGGCTCCCACCAAGCAACATTCAAATTGATAGCAAATTTCCGCCAAAAACGACTCTCCTCCATAGGAAGACTTAACAGATTGTCACTGGTCTGGATTCCTGGCCATACTGTCCTGGAAGGCAACGAAGCTGCTTACTCTCTTGCAAAGGAGGGTGCTGCAAGCAGCAGGCTTTAGCAAACAAAGATCGTCTTCGAGTGATGACTGATTTGAAGGTGATTGACAATGTTTCATGATGAATTTCATTAGTTCGGGCATCCATTGTCTGATATTATATAAAATGATTTGAAAATTTGACAAAATTTTTATTTTCGATTAATCTTTTTAATTTTTTTCAGGGATTTCAAATCAATATATGTTATATTAGACGATAGAAGTCCGAACTGATGAAATGAATCAGATTCTTAAATAAATGAATAAACTAAATGAACTCTGTAACAACAAAGGCAAATTTCTGGAGGAAACAGACCGATGTAGGTTCTAGGCAACATATGACAATAAAGTCTTTAGCAAAAGGTTTCACTCATTTATCAAAAACAAACCAACTGTGAAGTCAAATGTTGATTATATTCATCAATAAAAACTTTCTGACGTTGCATATTCCATGTGTGATGTTGTATAGTCCTTACAGTATCTCAATATTGTTGAAATTGAGTTTCCTTCATAGTGTTATCGTATTTATCTGAATAGGATACTGTTAGATAAATATTTGGAAGTCAGAATCAAAAGAATTAAACTTTCCTGCTTGAAATTTGTGCCGATCAGGCTAACTTCGTGAAACCACATAGTGTCAGAATTAATAACCAATGAGAAATATGATCATTGGGTTCGAACCTCGTGTGCAACGAGAAAGCGTAGAGTCAGGAATGACAACTATGTATCGGCTAATTGTCTTTTGGATGAAGTTCCTAACCGGCTAGATGTGCAACATCTGAATGAACGTAAGATGATCCCGTTTTTCTCGAATCAATCTATTTTTCCACTGGATCATTATAATAATTGGAGGAAAGTTCGAAACTTCTTTCGAATGATTTTTATAAAACTTTACCTTATGTTTAGATTTTTTGACGCTGGTTCGTTTCTTTGGGGCTTTTCGCAAACTCGACTTGAAGCTTCCTTTCTTTGGCAACTTGACTATCCATGATGGAGGAACTATACTATTGCAATGGACGCCTGTAACAAAGAGAATTTATGAAAGTCAACTGTTTGATGGGTGTTTTTTAAAATTTCAAATATTTTGCATGTGCAGAACAGAAAATGGAAAGAAGCACCTCAAAAAATAATCATTTCCTCGAAACATTTATTGATATTGTATAAAACCGTGCAGATGATTCAATAATTTTCTTGTTACGATGATAACAAATGTTATTTGTGTAACGACAATCACGGATTTGGATGGCCGAACCTTTGTGATCCCGGATAAATTACAACCTGTGAGACTACATGATGCAATAATACAGACCCAAGTTTTTCAGAAAGTGAAGGCTACATTACAAAGACGGCATGAGAAACGACAGGTGTGGATATCGGTAAACCCGGAGATGAAGGCAGTTTATTCTGATGAAGATGGAAATATACAATTCATGGGATACCTATTGGGGGAAAAAGCAAAACCACAAACTTCTACAACAGGATTTTCAGAAGAATCCCTGGCAAGAATCATGGAAAGCTGCAAGGAAATGAATAAAGATTCATCGAAACCTTTTAATATGAGAAAAATGGCAGAAAAAGTTGTTATAGAAAAAATCAATAGCAAAATCACTAATGTGTCCCAGTGGATGACTATCTTTGAAGCAGAATGTGCACGTATAGGAATAGAAGATGATGTCAAAACAATTGAAATTTTTAGGTTATTTATAGAAGACTCTTGTTTAGACTAGTATAGTTCCATGCTTATAAAGCATACAATTAATTCAGAATGGGCAATGGGCAGGATCTAATGTGTCCTTAATAAATTCAATTAATGGCGTAAAAAAATCAATAGGAATGGTTTCTTTGAAAATTAAAATTTTCGAAATTGAAAAACATGTTAATATTTTTGTTATAGATGAAGACAACTTCGACTATGATTTCCTAGTTCGGTTAGACTGTATACAAATATTTCATTTACCTCAAAATGAAAATTTAAATATTACTCAAAATTTCCTCAACAATAATAATAAAGACTACACAATAAATAAAGAAAAGCAACCTATAAACACTAAAGAAATTCCTGGCAATTCAGGTAGTGGCATAGGGAATGAACAGGATATGTATGATGAAAAAAAAGATATGGATATCACAAACAAAAATGAAAAAGAAATTATCATTAATGAGTATAAAATAAACTATAATGAAAATATAATAGTTGATAATTTTCTGATATTTCAGTAAATAATTTAATTTTTGCTAAAGACAAATATGATATAGGTACTGTAAAAGATTATGAAGCGCATATTGATTTGTTTATAGATAAATACTGTAGTAAGAGACCGTATAGGTGCTCTATTGAAGATATGAAGGAAATTGAACATCAAATTTCAAAATTATTAGAAAATAATTTAATCGAGGAGTCATATAGTCCTTTCTCCGGTAACTCTAGCATTTAAAAAAGAAGAAGGAAGGAGATCAAGACTTTGTATAGATTTTCGTGAATTAAATAAAATTGTAGTCCCCCAATCGCAACCTTTTCCTCTAATCGAAGATTTAATGGTTAAAACAAGGAAATGTAATTTTTTTTCAACATTCGATATAAACACAGCGTTTTGGTCCATACCCCTTAAAATTGAAGATAGACAAAAAACTGCATTTGTTACTCAGGGGGCACACTTTCAATGGACGTGTTTACCTTTTGGCTTAAAAACTTCGCCCGCTATTTTTCAGAGAATATTGAGTAGCATTATAAGGAAGCATAAACTGTCAGATTTTACTGTCAATTACATAGATGATATTTTAGTATTTTCTGAAACGTTCGAAAAACACATTGAGCACTTATCTTTATTATTGGAAGCAATTTCTAAAGAAGGTTTTAAATTAAAATTCACGAAATGTAACTTTGCACAGGACTCTGTAAAATATCTAGGGCACATAATAAAAAACAATACTGTCACTCCACTGAAAGATAATTTGATTGCCATAAAACAATTTCCGATTCCAAAAACACAAAAAAAACATTCGATAATTTTTAGGAAAAATCNATTCAAAAATAATATATAAGCAGGAATATAAAAAAGGAATATAAATCAAAACAATTATTTACAACACATACACTTCATATCAGTTCTCTATTATTAATCCAGCCCTCCATTATTCTGTGAATTTTTGTTTTGTCACTTTCTTCAACAAATGATAGGAGTTGGTTTTTTAATCCTTTCAAAGAAGTTTCATTGATTATTGTTTGTGGTAGTTGTCTGAATGATTTAGGTGCTAAGTAGGAGTAATTTTTTGACCTCTTGTTTTTGAAGTTGTTGGTATACAATATTGATTCTTTGATCTTGTTTTTCAGATAAATTCTCATTATTGATGAATAGAGCTATAGAGATAACGTTTGAAAACTGTGAAACATATCTAATTTGCATTATACTTTTTGAGAAAGCAAAAATGAATTGACAGAAAATACTTAATCTCATTTCCGGAATTGTAGGGGACTGAGAAGTAAAACAATTGAATTTTATGGCAACACTATCGAGCGGAGTTATGATGTTGTTTAGCTGTAGAAACGTGGTTGAGAGACGACATCTATGATGTTGAATTAATGGAGTATACTGTATTGAGGACAGACAGAAACTTAGAGTACACAGGGAAAATGAGAGGGGGTGGTGTCTTGATAGGTTTGAAAACATCTGAATTTAACATTCAAAATGTTTATAAGAAAAATGGAATTTATGAGTTATTAGCTTTTTATAAGAAAGTGAAAAACTCAGTAAAATGTTCTATAATTGTTTTATATTTACCATCTGAATGTTCTAGCTCAGTATATGGGAAAATATTTGAAATCTTGCAGGAATTGGTGGAGACTAAATCCGCCTATATATTTGGAGACTTCAGTATGATAGAAGTGAGAGGAGTTGATTCTATATTATTCAACATAAATGCAAATTCAATAGTAATGCACGATTTTCTGAATTTAAATTCTTACTCGTTACATAAGAATATTCAAAATGCACAAGGTAAGACTTTGGATCTGATAGTTGGCCAGGAAAATGAAAATTGAGACATTGATAGAATATATAATTGGACCATAGAAAATAATTATACTTTGACATTGATAAATAAAATATCGTTATCTTTTCTTTGCGAAAAAACTCCATTGAATTTAATTACAAAATGTGTTATTCACTTTGTCATTCTCGAAATATTTTGATGAAAATTTGATAGAGGGGTAATAAAATGTTGGGATTTGTTATGAGATCTAGTTATTCGTTTGTGAACGTATTTACGATTAAACATCTTTATATCACACTTGTAAGACCTATTTGGTTCGCTCATTTGGAAATCCCAACCACATCAGATGCATTTAAACAGAATCGAAAAAATACAAAATACGTTACTGAGATATCTATATTATAAAGAAAAACATTGTTGGTCCGATTACACGAAAGTCAGATCAATTGAATTGAGGTAGCATTTCAAAATATCAAAATATTAGACGGGATGTAACACAAATAATGTTTTTTCGTTATACAAGGTGATAAACAACAGTATTACAGATATAAACATACTCGAACTCATACATTTCAATGTTCCTCAGAAGTTCAATCTTTTTTAAACTACCCAAGGCAAGTAAAAAAATAACTGCTTCGAGTCCTCTCTCAATCATGCTTCATAAAGCAAATGAATGTTTTAAAAAAAATTGATTTCAGTAATTCCTTTTCAGGTTTCAGATATGATGTTATTAATTATTTATTAGAGATATAACAGTGATCGTAGATAATAAGTTTGAAAATAAATCTTTCAGTATATGTGTGTAGAAGTAAGCTCACACAATTAATTTGTAATAAGAATTCCCATGTAATTAGGCTGTTGAGTCTGTATGGAAAATAAAATAGAATAAAAATACTTTTTCATCAAAGGCATGACCAATTTTTACCTAGAACCCTTACAGGTAATTAGAATTTTTGAATATTCCAGAAAAAATACCTGAAGTAATTATATTTGACAGGTAAATTTGATTCAGGTACTTATTAATATTCTGATTCTGGGGTGCTTATCTATATAAGGTGTGAACATTTCATTTACTCCCAGTTATAGTGTTGTGTTAAAGTGTTAAAGTTTGTGTTGTGATAAGAAGTGAATTGTAGGAGGTTTAGTTATCATGGAGTATGATATGAATATGGAGGAAGACATTGAGCAGTTATTGCAAATGGGACCTACTATAAACATGGAGGAATACATTGACGATTTATGGCAAGTGGAATCTCTGGCGGAAATCCAGGCATCTGCGAAAATCCAGGCATCTGCGGAAATCCAGGCACCTGCGGAAATCGAAACACCTGCAAGAGAGGGAAAGGCAATCGAGAAAAGATGCCAGGTCAAATTGTTAGATGAACCGCTTACTCTACAGTGCAAATGGGACACATGCGAAATAGAGTGCAATTCTTGGGAAGCATTCGACGTACATTTAATGAACCACGCTACTGTCGATTCGGGTGACTCAAAATGTTCATGGACCGATTGCGAACACCATGCAATTTCCACCGAGGCATTGAAGTACCACTTATCGCTTCACGGGTATTATTCAAAGCTGATAAATATTGGGCAGAATTCAGTGGAGAGGAATGGTTTACCTGAATGCCACCAGAAGAAAGCGCTGAAGATGCCGAATAATATGTCTGGCTACAGTTGCGAGTGGAATTATTGCTCATCTACTTTCGTGACAATTTTTCAATTTTTATCGCACTTGGTGGCACATGTCAAAGTGGGTACGAGCATTGGGTCCAAAAATGAAAAGGTTCCCTGTTTATGGAGGGGATGTACAGCGAAATTTGCGACTCGCACCAAATTAACAGATCACTTGAGGACTCATTCAGAAGAGAAAGTGATTGGTTGTCCTACATGTTTAGCCACATTTGCGAACAGAACCAAATTCGCTGATCACAGGAAACGACAACAACCAAGTGTTGCTAGTTCTCATCATTGTCTTGAATGCGATAAATTATTCGCAAGTGGACGACTGTTGAGAGACCACGTACGGA